CATGTTACCGTTATACCAGATTCGCATTGTCACGATATTAAAACTAGCCATGTCAGTAAAAGTTTCACTCCCAAAAGTATGATAATATGATTGCTTTTACATGATCTGCCATATGAAATTGTTCCGGGCACAGAGATACCGTAAAACAACTTGAACTGATGTCGTGACCATGGGTATTTGTTATAGTGTAAACGGGGTATAAGAATCTTTGTGTCAAGTAGACACAAATATGGCATTTATCTACTTAACTCGGCTTGACTACAAATATGGCCTTGCATGACACATCTCACTGATAGATGAAGATACCCGGGAGAGTATGCTGTTTTTTTGAGGAGGAAGCTGGGTGGGTGACGAAGATAATGATGTTTCTCCGTCACACTAGTGAGAAAGCTCATCTGCACTTATGGCATAATAACTGCAACCTATATTAAGAAAGACTCCCAAAGACATCACCTTGTAAACTCGAGATAAGACGTAGAAAGACAAGATGTCCCCATTTGGACCCGATTTCCAAGTCAAGTTCAAACCAGAATAAATCGAGAACAGCATTAAAAAAGATTTACATTACTATAGTTTAAAAATGAACATAGTGAACCAATAATGTGTGAGATGTACGTAAACAATTCGTCGTATTTCAATGTAACCATGCATGCATGCAGGCAAAGCATTCGTTCACATCACACCTTTAAAAGCCCACGTTCAGCTTACGTTTGTAGAATTATAGCCGAAATTTAGCAATTCGACCTTATATGGTCAAAACTAGCCCAGACTTCGTTGACTAAGTGGTGAGTTTATCGGTGCATGGTAGTCGTTATCACGCACGTTGCTACTTTAAAATTCAAAAACAAGAGTGAAGAAAAAATACTAAAATTAAACTGAGATTGGTGAATATCAGTTGAACGTGTTTCTTAGAATTTTATACACCAATAATTGGCTAATTCTTGTTTTCCGTAAAATGCTCCGACCAGCCACGATTATACGTCTCGGGCGTAGGCGGCGTTTCACGAACGTTATGTGTGAAAAACAATATTTGAAAAAGTCATTTCCCTAATGCTCTCAACCTTTCTATGTTTGGCGCGATGGTCGATGAACAATAATAGTCGGTCTTTGGAAAATCCACTACCTCAAAAAAGCTTCAATGGATTGTATAGGGTTTTTCCCCGTAATTTAGTCGGTACACGTTCCTCAACCAGTCGGTTGATAGGATCTTAGATCCCCACTGAAAACAGCCCAAACAGAAACATTCCCCGAACATTATCTGAACCCACGGATGGTATAGAAGAGTTCCTAACCGGTGTCGGTATATATATGCGACCTTCCGTTATGTTAAACTTGCACGCACATGCAAAAAATTTTAAATTAATTAATTCATTCAAAAAATTAGTTCAGCGCCTTAACCAAATTCAAAATCCAAATCCAAAATACAAAAAGAATAAAAAGATAAAACGGATCAAAATGATTATGATTTGTGTGACCTAGCCTATATGTTAGTAGTTCTGAATGCGAAGCATTTTCATGTGTTACTGACTTAAAGTTATCGGTTTTTATTTATTTTCCGACAGTTTGATTTCATTTATTTCTCCAACAAAGATGAAAAAAATTTGCATTACCACACCGGATATCCGAAGTAGCCTACGCCAGTTCATATAATTCCTTGAACCGAGTGAACGAATATTGGTTTGTATTCATCCTTTTCGCCTTTTCCTAATTTTTTCGAGGCCAAATAATCCTTACTATATTTTTATATCTTAAGTCAGTGTATTTATATATACTTCATTTAGATATTTTTATAGTGTTGTAATTTTTTTTCCCTCAGGGAAATTATCTTTTCGAACTAATATGCATGCACGTAGTTGAATGCTCTCGCCCTATATCACTTCCTGCATTTAGTTAGGTGTTTATTTCTTCTTGCAATATTTTGGTTACCAGTCTGGTGCAAGTTGTCAAAGAAGTTAAAACGTATAGTTGTCTCTCGTCTTAAACCCCAAAGGCAAAAACGTGGTGTACAACATACAAAATTCGATTATCCACGGAAGTGGTGTCAAATTTGAAGTCAAACGCGAAGTGCTGTTGGTATCTATGCATGGTCGGTTTTAACGAGGTATTTTATTCGTGACTTTTATTTTACATCTTAGTTTAATAGCCTCAAACCCTACGCAAAGATCCGAATCAGTGGATGAGATATTTGTCTCTGGTAAGATTACATTTGAACTCTGATCAATTTGGATGAGAGTACCGCAATCTCAAATTCCGTTTCTGTACACCATCGTATATAGGCTATATATATATATAAAGTTGCATTTTTGCAGCCTTTCCTATTTATGAGAGAGAGGTTGATAACTAAAACGCATCATTGGTCCGATTTTTTAGATTGCGTGGAGATTTAAAATATGTTTAAATTCATAATTCTTCTGCCTTCTGGTATACATATAATAATATAGCCCATATTTTCAGTGTTGGCTGTTGCACTCAAGTTGTTTACGGGTTCGGAAGTCGATTCGTATCTTTATAAACGAGAGGAGATTGAATTATATTGTGCAAGCTAACTAGACGAATTAGGTACAAACCGCTTCCTCTTCAAAATACGTGAATTTACAGTTAATAGCTACAGTGTGTTGCATATTTGATGACAATTAATCTACATGGCATTAAGCAAATATTATTTTTACAGTATAAAATTAGTTACCCTAATCAGCGTATTTCCAATATAATTATTTTATTTTATTTCATTATTTTATATTTCTCACTGCAATCAAAGTTTTGCTAAAATATCTTGACATAATTTATTTTGAGTTCTGCATTTAAAAAGTTTAATTTGCACTACTTCTAGCTAACACTGGATTATGAATTTATAATTATTTGATGAAAATTCCCATTATTCTTTGCGCATTTACCTTTTTTGAATTAGCTGTATATATTATATACATATATTACTACTGATCACTTGACACGTACTTGACACAAAAAACTTGGTCTTTTTATAGATGTCAATGGGCAAGATGTTTCTAAGTTTTGCATTGGTCTGTCTTTTTTTTCTAATCAACATGTCGCCTGCTGTAAAGAGTAAAGGTATGACATAGTAATGCTTGCACGTTAGTGCCCTTGCAATATTTTTATAATAGCATTGTATCACAGTTTAATGATATACAGTTATGGAACTCGCGGCGGAACCCTTTGATGTTGCTGTCCCCCTGCCTACGCCATTCCACGCGCCACGCAAATTGCTCTGGCAAGTGTATTTTGACTCTAAAGTAAGGGAAAAAGGTGTTTGAAAGACGAAAAATGTTAATATTTTAAAGCTGGCTCTATCGATCTCCATTTTTGCGCCTAAATTTTAAAAACAAACGGTAAATGGTTGTGTTTTTTGTAAAAAATATATGCGTTAGGTTAAAGAGGTAAGAAATACAAGCACGAATGATTTTCTTTGTAAATGACAAGCTGATTGCCAACATCGTCGTCGATTATAAATTAGGCAGTTATTTCTCGATCCAGAAAACGTCTGATCTGATCTTAAAACAAGCATGATTGATGTGTTATTTCTACAATTCAAACACACGAAAAAATTTCTTTGAAAATAATTTATTTTGCCATAAAACTAGCAAAAACTACATGTTTTTTATTCGAATCTTGAACTTGAATTCAAAGGATTTACAATAAACAAATGCAACTTTTACCTATATATACAATACTTTTTACATGAGTATAAATCCAACTTCACACACAAATGGTAAATGCTAACAGATATTAATTTCAGTTCATACATGATTGTAATATTCATGAAGGACATGCAAATCAATTTCCAATCTAATCTATGCAATGCTGTGTGGCTTCTATGAGAAGATTGAAAGCTATTTTCCAAATTTTGGATGTGAATATAATACACATAGGAGACATAATAGGGTTCACAAATATCAGTAAACTGCGTATACGTTGTAAAACTTTTTAATAGCCATCTAACTTGCTATCTTCTTGAACAGTAGAAGTCAATGTCTTGATATGTCGTCTGCTCAAAAGTTAACTGACTTTGAGAAGATTGTTTCGCCATCTAGAAAAAAATACGACTGCATATTGGCGAAATATAGTCAGATAGACCTACATTTATTAGATGAAATACCAAACTTTGAATTTTTACCTGGCAGTTCTATAAGCTTCGTGTGAAAATCGCACTCCTCGTAGTTGTATTTCCTGTTTTTTCCTGTTTAAATTCGTATTATCGCAGTCATTTTTAATCCAAAAGGAGCAATGTCGGATGGATAAATAAAATTTGTCAAAAAAACGAAGAGCGAAAGACCCTTGGCTTTAAAATTGCATTTTTTCTGCTAAAAAATCGAATTTTCCTTATTAAAAAGTGCAAAAACACTTGCCAGAGCCTAGCGCATGCGCATTAAAAACAGGGGGACAAGATTTGCCGCGAGTTCCACCTTTCCTCTGTGTACTCTGTGTAGTACTCTGTGATTGTATGTTTGATTGCGAATTTTGAATTTCGAAATCGCGTATAGACCGGACCGTAAAGAACGTATGATTCGAGATTGAGGAGATGTCTTGCCGGTAATTCTGACCATAGTTCTGACCAACTTTCAGAATAAAGAAAATCCCAATTTTCCATCCGATAACCAGGCCAACGTTTTAGAAAGCTTTTTTGCCTAACAAAATTTACATGGACGATTAAAAGTTGTTTCCATGCAATATATCAAAATATGGTATATTCGACATAAGGTCCATAATAAACTTCAACCCAATATGCCAAATATGGGTTCATCCAGGCTCTCAGAGGAATTTCAGAGTCTGTATGAGGCTGGAACTGTATGGCTGTGCAGTTGAAAAAGGTTAGTTGATGAATTTTTGTATAGGCGAAGTAAATATGTAGATGGAATGGATAGAAATATTGAATAAATATGCCGTAGATATTTTTTAATGAGCGCTAAGCTGCATACTCTATAATAGACAGTAAATTTTACTGTTTTAGTTATTATTTCCTACTCAATGCCAGTTGGACAGACAACCAAGAATGGAAGGTATCACTTTAATGACACATCTTACAACGGGAATATTTTAAATGGTTTTTACCAAGGTGGTACTGGGATACTCACAGATGGCGAATTTGCTTCAAATAACTCGAAAGATTCGGGTGGTAAAGGTTGGGTGGGATGGTTTAGTGTGAACACTGATTCATCATACATTGAAATTATATTTCAATTTTCCGGCGTGAGGAAGTTCAAGGATGTTACACTGATTATGAATGTTGACAAGCCACGTAGTAATGCTGTATTCAACAAATCACGGATATTCTTTGCTTCAACTGAAGGCAGTTTCTCGAAAACATCTCTTCAGTGTTATCCAAAAGATTTTCCATTCAAAAATGGTCCATACAACGCAAATGTAACTTTGCCACTTTGTGAAAATACGGGGAGTTTTGTAAAAATGCAGTTATACTTCAGAAGGAAATGGTTGCTAATCACTGAGATCAGTTTTAATTCGGGTATTTCTTTTTTAATTAATTCAGTTTGCAATAATAACTTTGTTTAAGTATAGGTTTGACATACTGTATACTGGATACTGTAATTACTACAAAATTGTAAGTCACCCGCTAGTGTCAAAATGTATTGCTTGTAATTTGCATGTACATGTACTTTGTTTGTCCCATTGAAATTTTGCCAGAAATCATGCATGGTTATATACGCATATATTTTATTAAAATACTCTGTGGTTTCTTAATTATATTGTCTCTATTACTAATTACAGAGAGTTGGTCAGATAACAAGCTGGGGTCACTCAACTGCTCAAAGACATGCGCGTCAACAACTGCAACACCTGGTCCTGAAGGTAAACGTTAGCAGATTGATTACGAGACATCATAAGCAATCTAAGCCTACCAGAATGTTTATTGTGTATATGAATAAATATGATAGTGTTGATGCATTGTCATTGTGGTAGGTGCACGGGCGAACATTAGGCGCACATATATATTTCAAAAAATGAATATGGAAAACTGAAAACCTATATAAAGAATTTATTTTGAATTTGTGAATTTAGATATCCGCTTAATTTGATCAACGTTATAACTTATAAACTCTCTGATTTTTCCTTTCTGGCTTTTCATTACTGGTATTAGAAAATTCGACCAATCAACTTGCAGTTTCCCTCGTGGTTACCAGTGTGGCTGTTATCGTCGTTCTTCTCATTATTATATTTTACAAAAGACAGCGTTGGTGTGGCTTAGTCATTGGAATGAAATCAGGACTAAATACATCGCAAAGCAATCAGGTTGGTATTTTTCATAATGCATGTAATGGATTTAAAGAGAAAAACATTTGCCGGCTATTTCGTCACGAAAACTACAGCACGTTTTATATACCTGCGGTAGTACAATAGAGAAACTAGCCAATCCAGGGCGCCCAGTCTACCCCGCCCGTCCCGTTGAATATTTAACCGTTTAACTAATAAAAGCGGTTGTTAAGAAGACACTGCACTTCCTGACTGATGAATGATTTTATTCCATGTCATCCAAAAACTAGCAATTCTTGTTCGTTATTGATAAAATAGACACTAGACGACATAGCAACACCACCGGATGAGCAATGTTATACAAATAATATTGGTCTTGAGCCATATGAAGAAATTCAAATCTCACAACCACTTCCTTACATCGAACTTGACAAGAACAGAAAAGAAACAACAGATGATGCCAACTGCCAGAAACTATCGAAGAATGGTTCGGATTATGTAATACCAAATAACGGTCACCTTAGGTCGCCTGATATGGCAGCGACACAAGACGAACAATGTTATGCAATACCAAATAATATTGTTACTGGACCATATGAAAAAATCGAAATCTCAAACCCTCCTCCTTTTTACATCGAACTTGACAAGAAAAGAAAAGAAACAACAGATGATGCCAACTGCGAGAAACTATCAAAGGATGCTTCTTCGGATTACGTCATTCCAAATGAGGGTCACCCCAAGACACACGAAGAAGTTGCAAAGACAAACTCACTTCCTGGCTACACAAAATTAGACAACACAAAACGTGACCATCAAGTTAATTCTTATCAAAAATTAATTGATTTTGGGAAGCAACGAATAGATATGACTGCTCCAGGAACTTCAAATCAAATTTTAAATTAAATTACCTACTTCCAATTGATGGTCGCACTAAAATATGCATTTTTGAAACTCTGGTTGTTTCGCACAAACATAACAAAACGTGCATGATAATATAAAGATATTGCAAAAATTTATAAAGAATAATGATAAAGGCGAGTACCTTCTTAAGGTTTATAGTTTTCATACCCAAAAATTTATCACTCATAGATATTGCTGATTTGATTTGTTCCTTCTTGAGCCCGTTTCATACGGGAACGTTTGTGACAAGGTTTTGATGACACGTTGTTAATTACGCAATAATTTGCAACAATTTCTGTGAAGTTTTCAATTGACATGTCGTTCTTAGCTGTTCTTGCTGACGTTTACTTTAGTAAATTGTCAATTTCAAATGTCGACTCGTACATGCAGGCATGTGGCAATTTTTACTTCGCAATTATTTCTATAACAAGTGCGCATATACTTGCTACTATGCTCGGGAAAATCTTATCATAGAAAACGTCTTTAGCTGGTTCTACTCAAGTCTTTTTCCATCTTCCGTTACACATCACTACCTTTAAATACCGTTCTTATATCACATCAGTACCTGGGTATCAAGGCGCTTTCTGTGTTAAAGGATTGTAAGTTAACGCACAGTGTCAGTGATTAATATGCAATAAGTATACATGTATATATAGTCATTTTATTTAATTAAACAGTAGTAAATTAATAGGAATAATTAAATTATTAGGTAAATTAAATTAATAGGATTCTTCGGTCATGAGTGTGATCATCGCCTGTAATTCAAACGTCACTCACATTCCCAGTCACTGAGTTTGACACAGAAATTTTGTTGATCAATGAGAAATTCCTTTCTCCATCAAAACACCGAAATCAAACTCTTATTCGAGTGGAGATACGGACATGAAGGGGCTACAGCGTGATTGAGACCTCACACTCAATGAGTTTTAGTTTGAGTGAGCTTTTAGAATACTGGCGCAAATCTTTTCAAGTGGGGTGTTGCAGGGTATCGGGATTCAGCCAGGTCTGAATGTCAGATCGAGCAACACCCTTACCGTTACGATTATTCAATTTTGCGCAAAATTTATTTGGTATTCGTTTTATACAATTCATTAAAAACCGTCCATTAGACAATAACTGTTATTAGTTCATATTTAATTTGTAAATGCTTTTTTGTTGCATTAAAGTACAAATCTTCAAATCATCATTTCTATTGTTACGCATGTACCTAGAAATCAGGGACAGAAGGGCCTGTTTTTAGCCCTCACAACAACTCTTGTAATTTATTAGAGGAGAGTTAATTTAAACATGCACCAAGCACACCCAACTTTCGTTCGCACACCATCACCTCTTCTTATTAACTAAACAAAACATTATAAACGGAATTGGTTAAGATAGTGTAGCAATCTTCTCCTTACTCCTACCTTGACAAGAACAGACCAGAATCAACTGATGATAGCAACCAGAGACGCCGAAACAAAACATACGAAACTCAACTGACGATATTTTGCAAACATTCTTTACTACGCGCCGCAACAGGAGGGCCTTTTCACCCAAATCTGCCCCCCCCCCCCCTTTTCCACGCATCGTTCCGGTGTCCCTAATACCCACTTGTGTGGGGGAAGCGGTTGTTGGACGATTATCCATACATAACTATCCTCCATTCTCACCTATTTATTGAAAGAATACTTTTTCCGTTGTTATGCATGAGCTTCACAGTATTACATTTGCACAATCATTGCCCATAACCGCATTAATTCGCATTTGCTTTCAGTTTTTATCGATCATTGTCTGGTTTAAACATTTAATTTTATGATTCAGTATTAAACATAATACATATCGATAAACTATTGATAAAACATTTGCCTTGCTCTTTACATTATGAGAAATGAGTTATTCATCATGCGCGTTCCACTCTGTAACTTTATAGTTGCTTCTAAACGACAAGGATGCCGATAAACAAATATTTGACTAAACTAATTCGATCGTGCAAACAGAAAATAACAACTTAAACCGCTCAAACGATCTGTTTTCATTTGTATTTGTTATTGTATTTGTTTTAATCAATGACAACAGTTTACAAAAAACCACACCTTGTAAAATCCGATATGAGCTTTAGCGACTGTCACTTGATAAAGCATTGTGTACAAATTTGGAGTTTTTTTTAAGTCCTTGTAAAGCCCTTGATTTTTTACAAACCCTTTGGGTTCACAAGGAAATACCTCGCCCAACTGAAGGGAAAAATTATCGGAAGTAGTCGTATATAGTCGCTCGTTCTAGAGAGTTCTTGTGCGAGATCCCTAATATCAGCCCTCTCTAGCCCCTAACTACCAAAACAAAGGCTGGGTACGGATGAAATGGGCAGGGGTACCCATTTTAGCCGTGCCGATAAATTGAGTGTAGTGTAAACGGGGGGCTTCTTAGTTCTAATAAATGAATAATCTCTGTTTCCTAAAATTATCACCATATATAGTCACGATTCCATCTCGATCATGAACATTTTAGGAACAGCCGTAGAGGCAAATTTTCATGCAGGATTAATTTTAAAGGCAATCTGGGCAAACTATTGTCGAAACACAGAGTTACTCTTTGTTTCTTTAGTTCACACGGTACCTGATTGTCATCGGAACAGGTCAAAGTGAATAAAAGACAGTAAAGATGTTTATTGTCGAGACCTGAATAAATAGACTAAGTCTTTCAAATTAATAAGAATTGTTGCTTTAAAACGGCTAACGAAGTTGTCGTGACAGGCGGTCAGGTACCGTGCATGCATGGGAACGCAGTTTTAATGAAATGCATTTTGCACTTACAGACGGGTGCATGCATGATAAAAGTTTATCAGTAATTTGTAATCTTATCCTCCCCAAATAGACTGAGTTTAGAACTTTTAGACATGACGTTTATTCTCGTGCTAATAAAGAACGTTCTGCAGGAAATTTCGTATAAGCCAGGGACCGGTTGTTCAAAAGCCGGTTAGCTTAACGGTTAAACCCTGGGTTGAAGCAAATCTCTACATTAATTGTTTTAGTTGCTTGTTTACAAAGTTGAATACCTTTTTCTATAAATATTTTCTGGACCGACAAAGCCATATTTTTGTAAAGGTTTTCAGATGGTTCAGAAGCACTTAAACCAAAACACTGGAATAAAATTTAAACCAAAACACTGGAATAAAATTTAACCCAGGTTTAGCGTTAACACAGCTTTGAACAACTGGCCCTATAGTGTGTAATAGAAAAAAATGCAGACAAATGATTGATATTAGTTGAAAATTAGATGATAGCACTCGGAAAGGAACGACAATTTCAATACGTTATATATATAATTTCTTCATTCTTATAGATTTTATAATTTCATGCAAAGAACAAGTTTTTGCATCATTTTCATACCGGATATCCGACAGAGACTACGCCATACAGTGCATAATTCTTGGCAAACAGTAAGTTCAACGATTAATGGTATCTATTCATTTGAATCGTTTGTCTTTCCCCCGAAGCATAATAATCTTGGATATTTTTGTATAGCTAATAATTGCTGTTATTGTTCTTAGAAACTGTTGTTTTTGATCAAAATCATCCCCACTCTTAATATTGTGATCCTATATTACATCCTGTTACGTGCTGCATGGGTGGTGAACTTAATTATTTCATTGATGTTTAAAAACACGTAAATTGCGGTAGTCAAACAGTTAAAACGAAACCGTTGTTACGTTACAACTTTCACAGTTCTATTCCTGCATGATAGACTTGGATTGTTTCAACAAACCCAAAGGTGGTATTGAACGGATCTCTTGAAGCCAGTGAAGTGCCCTTGAGTTGAGTTCTATGGTGTTTTTTTACCAGGTACTATTATAGTTCTTTATAATTTTAGCTTTCAGTTTATCATTTCAAGCATCAACAATACTCTGCTTTGCCTGATGAAATCTCTGAATGTCTAACCACCCCCCTCCCGTACCTATGAAATGATATAGTCTATAGATTTTTCATACAATTAGAGTAGTACTTAGTCAGGAAAAGAATTTCATGTTCGATTCCTGTGTACTTTAAAATTGGCCCGATTTATACTAGTTCGTCTTCTAGTTCGCCTGCGCGGTGATAGTTCGTCTAGATAGTTCGTCTAGATAGTTCGTCTAGATAGTTCGTCTAGATAGTTTGTCTAGATAGTTCGTCTAGATAGTTTGTCTTGTGTTTATACTCATGCAGACGAATCATCTGTCAGACGGATCATTCGTCCAGACAGATAATCCGTCTCTAGAACAAATTGGAAAATTCCATTTCTTGGAACCGTCCTTGCTCATGTCACTCATACATACTTGATACTGATGATGCCATAAAATTTTGGTCATATTTTGTAGGTTACAATGTCAATGAGAAAGAATTTTGAAAGTTATGCATTGGTTTGTCTTATTTATTTAATCAACATGTCGCTTTTACACAGTAAAGGTAAGACATGGTAGGATTTGCTGAGGCCGAATTTAATTCAATCCGCATTTTTTATCCTGCTTTAAACTTTAAAGCCCTGCTTTTACCCAAAGTTTAAAATTGAGAATCGTACTTAATTTATCTGTTCTAGACATGGGGTTCTCAGCAAGTAATTGTAGCTAATAAATAAAACGGCGTTGAGTATTTGTCCATATTTTGAGCAAGGTTGCATTGTATTATACCTTGTTTTGACTGTTTTCAGTATTCTCCTGTGAACTTAGTAATTAGTGTGCCAGAGTAAATCATGTACATGCTCATTGCTAGTACAGTTTATGCTTCATCAATACGCAATTCACAGCGCAAGACTAAGTGATGATGAATTTCAACCCGAACAGGTAGTTGCCCGCTGTTGGAAATCCACGAAGTATAAAGTATTGTATTGATTCATACCATAATCATGATGTTTTATAATTTAGAATGTTCAGGTCCTCTTGGTATGAGTGATGGTAGAATCAAAGACTCGCAAATCACAGAGTCTAGTGTTCATAGACAAACTACAGCAAATGGTAAACAGGCTCGTCTAGGTCAGAATGTTAAACCCTGGGGTGCTTGGTGTCCAGACGTCACTGGAGGATCAAGTACTGGAAAGAATTACGACCAGTATATTGAGATTGATTTGGTAAATCTGACAACCATTACCAAAATTGCAACTCAGGGACGAGAGTTTAGTGATGGAAAAGAATATGCTATGGATTATAAAATATCCTACAGCGTTTATGGTCAAAAATGGTCAAACGAAACGAAGGTAAATTTGTTATAAGAGTACAATCATGTACTATAAGTGTACATATATTAAACACAGCTCTCTAAAACATTTCGAGGGGGCTGTGATCATGTGTAACATTGAGCAATAGTTGCCCTAAAAATGATCAAAATTATCAAATGTGCTCAAAAACAATTGTGATAAAAAATGGACCATTTTTTGATGATTTTATGCTGAGCTCCTTCAAATGAAATCAAGATTCAACTATTCATCCTAAATATCAGAAAATTGTGCCTTCGATTGAAACATCAAAATCTCAGAAAATTGCCATTCATGGTATAAAATGGTCATTCATGGTTTTTTGTATAAAGCTCCTGCGTCTAAATGGAATATTATCAGCTTCATTATAGTGATTTTCGAAATGTATTAAACTACAATGCATGATAACACATATATAAGATACGTCGCAATTAGTGGAAAATGAACACCACTTTGTATGGGACTTCACGTTACGCATGTTGCATTTTAACTATGATTTGAGTAAGGAACTCGTTATATAAATATGTACAGCACTCAATAAATCTTTAAATACTCTATTGCCTCAGATATATCCGGGAAACATGGATGAGCGCGGTGTTGTTGAACATGAACTAAAAAATTCATTTAATGCAAGGCTCCTCAGGATTTATCCAGGATACAAGAAAAAATTCCCCGTGTGTATGAGGCTGGAGCTGTATGGTTGTGCAGTTCAAGAAGGTTTGTTTATTCTTTTGTTCACCCAGTGGCAGAGGCGGTGGTACAGCGGGGGGAGGGGCGGTACGAGAGCTATATAGCCCTATATATATAGTATGTAAATAAGATGTGCCAGGGGAGTGCTTAGTCCGAAATACATGGAGACTTTTTATACAAACATGCAAGTAACGAATAGAATATTTCGAACAGAACATTGAAGAGGAAGTCCACAAGCAATGTTAAAGTTGTTAAAATACCTTGTGTTTGTTCAGTCTTTGCTTCAAACCAGTGTAGATTACCTCGACTATTTCCGTGAACTACATTCCGTATCTTTTGTTTGCATGCATGTTAACACTGAATTTTCAATCAATTCTGTGGCCCGCCAGACAAACGATGAACGCTTTTTTAAATTCAATCTCCTTCACAGTGAATTGAGTGAAATATGTTTAGTGATGACGGCATGAGGGTCACCCTTGAATATTTTCAGAAATTTTTTTTACATATTTGTCCAAATTTTATAAGTCTTTTATAAGTCTTACCTGAGTTAAAGTAGAAATTCTTGTTTATTCCGGACCTTTCTAGAATTTTCGCTACAAAAAATTCCTGGCGCCGACTGTCACTGTGTGCTCATGGACATTGTTCACAATAACACTGATTATTTTAGGTATTATTTCCTACTCAGTGCCAGTTGGACAGAAAACCAAGAATGGAAAATATCACTTTAGTGACACATCTTATAACGGGAATATTTCAAATGGTTTTTACCAAGGTGGCACTGGAATACTCACAGATGGCCAATTTGCTTCAGTTAACTCGAAAGATTCCCGTGGTAAAGGTTGGGTGGGATGGTCTAGTGTAAACGCTTTGTTACCATATATTGAAATTATATTTCAATTTTTTGGCGTGAGGAAGTTCAAGGATGTTACACTGACTCTGAATGTTGACAGGAGACGTAGTAATGCTGTATTCAACAAATCACGGATATTCTTTGCTTCAACTGAAGGCAGTTTCCCGAAAACATTTCTTCAGTATTATCCAAAAGATTATCCTGCAAAGAATGGTTGAAAGAATGCGAAAATACGGGGAGTTTTGTAAAAATGCAGTTATACTTCAGAAGGAAATGGTTGCTAATCACTGAGATCAGTTTTAATTCAGGTATTTGTTGCTTTCTTTATTGTTAGCATGTATTACAATATTGTTATAGCAAAATCACTGTGCGATTGTCACAAGATGCAAACTTGGAGAAATTAACCGCAGCATATATCTTATTTGAGGAAAAGACTCATGCCTCTCGCAACCGTGTTATATTCAACATATATATACACCCAGCCAGCTTATCTGAGAACATGATATCATTGAGGCGACGAAATTGAGCTATAATGCGACTGAAGTTTTCGTACGTACCCCGATTTTTCATACGAATAGTTTAAAGGGCCGAAAAATTTAACTTTTAATTTACAGTTGAGTAAAAAACAAACGTATTTCTGCATCAAAATAATAGAATTACCTGCCTTGGACCTTGCTTCTGGATGATTTTTATACTCAGATCAGCTGGAAGCTTTCGTGCGTATGCCATAGACCGCAATATGAAACTGGACACATATATATCTGAGCTACCCAGCTAACTTTTTTTCTTTCCCATTAAATTACTGAATTTCAGAAAGTACAGAAGACAAGAGACCACCGAACAATTTCTCAAATTTAACAACGTGTTCCGTTGTCATTACACCCTCTGTGCCTGGTGTTTCAAAACCACCTAGTCCTGGATGTAAAAGTTAGTAGCTTTAAAATAGACCTTTTCAGCTTGTATGCAAATTAACCCATTTCAAATCACATGGTTTTATTGGCTATTCCATGGTCACAACATCTTGATTTGCATGTAAGCTGAAATAGTAGCTGCTAAATCAAGCGCAGTATGAATACAGAGTTTGTTTTTTTTAGATTGTTCAACGTTTACTATCAAACCAACACATAGAGACGAGGCTGGTAAGTGTATTGTTTCTTGTATGGTAAATCAGACATTAGGTGACGTTCAGGGACGTCGGAGGGATCACGTTTTTCAGGGGGGGCGAAAACGATATTTGAATAGCACTTATAGTGAAAATTAATAAAAACAAGTGAAAATCAAGGGGCTCAAAAATTTTTCGGCAATTTTTCAATATAATGTAAAAATGTCTTATCAAATTATCATTGCCAAAAAATTTCCAAAAAATTTTTGGCCGCCTATGAACGAGTTTACCCGCACTGGTTTACCCTTCCTAGAGTGTGCATAGCTTCACATATGCTGCCCAGAGCATCTGGTAAGCTAACGAAGACACTGGTAGAAATGTTTTATGATCTATGTATACTATTCCTGTCAACATATTTCTACATGAATCTTAGTAGCTTAATACAATATCATAAATCATAATATATTCTAACTTCATTTTTTCATTACTACAATTTAGAGATTCAGAAATCAACACATTCACTTGCAATTTCCCTGGTGACTGTTGGCGTAATTTTTATCATCGTCTTTGTTGTCGTAACTATGTTTCTACTTTACAAAAGACGGCGCCAAGATGGAAAATTAACGACAGTTGACGTAGTTGAAATGCAACCAAGACCGGAAACATTAGAAAATGTTCAGGTTGGTTCTCCTTTATGTAATCTCGTGCATTAGCAAGGATATCATCTGCATGTGCCATTCAACGAGAGGCACTTTCATATGCGTTCTAACTTCTAATTTGGAGGTATTCATCTCATAAAGTCAAACTAAAGCTTATTCCTGACGATGTATAAGCATGCATAGTTAGTGGCCCTGTAATGATTTGCGCGTAACGTGTGTATATTTTTATATTTGATTTAAAATTTGATGAAAACCTGATATGATTGATAATTGTCAACAACAAACTGCAGCATCTCTTGTTTCGTTGTTAATACAACAGAATTTGAGCCAAGCTGAAGTGGAAACAGCACCAGATGAACAAGATTATGTTATACCAAATAATATTGTTACTGGACCATATCAAGAAGTCCAAATCTCTCACGCTGAGATTGACAAGAACAGACAAGAAACAATTGATGATAGCAAGTGCGAGAAACTATCGAAGGATGCTTCGGGTTACGTCATTCCAAATGAGGGTCACCCCAAAACAGACGAAGAAGTTGCAAAGACAAACTCACTTCCTGGTTACACAAAATTAGACAACACAAAACGTGACAATGAAGGTAATTCCTACCAAAAATTGATTTATGAATGCAATAGGCAGACTACAGATTGAGAGAATGAAAAACTGTGAATTGAAAATATATTATTTATTTTTTCTTCTGAATGATAAAATATAATTCCAAGTAATGAATTGAAGAGTGAATCAACACACTGAAACATACCAAGAGGGTCTGACTCTTCTGATTACACGGAATTATATGACAAAACTGACGTCACCCGAATATTCACAGTTTTTTATTTGTACCCTGAATATTTGTACTTATATGGAGAAGCACACGGCACATGGGGGCGTAGAAAGCGATCCTGATTTGCAGGGGGACTGGCGTGGTTAGGAGGGATATTCATTCCTGTACTGTAAAGAGAAAATAAGGATTTAGTGACACCTCCCTAGTTTTGGCAAACCAAAATATTGTTTCTCTACGCCCCTAGCCGAACACCAATTATAGGCCACGGAACGTGATATAGACTATAATATTTGCTTTGTGCCATTTAATACGGTGAAACGTGCTTTGTAAATACATAATTTAAATCCTGATTCCTGACTTGCACATTTTAACATTTTTTATATTTTTGAACAAGTTGTATTAGATTAGCCGAGATGAACATTATTTTCAATTAGTAACATAATGACTATTGTTGCGTGTATTAAAGTACGTAATCTAGTCGAATTCGATTGCAATGTGTTTTCTTATTGAGAAACCATATCAAAAGTACAGTAACAAAATAGACGTTGTAGTTTCAAATTAATAAAATAAGTTATAATATAGCTACTCACTATGGATCGGAACGGACAGGAAAATTTCCTTTTTCGGTGAGTTCTCAGGCGGCGTTTATACAAAGGAAACTTTCCTGTTCTGTCCGATCCAAAGGAGAATTTTCCCAAGTGGAAACTAGCCTTAACCATTGGCCTTTATATTTATAGTCCAGTGGCCTTTACTCACTGTGTATGAGCTATTCCGCAATCTGATTGGTCGAGTTACCCACTGTATATCATATACGCAGCGTTGCCAGATGGTGAACAAAGTTCACAGATTTGTGAACTTTTTGCTCTCTTCATGAACTTTTTATGAACTTCGAAGATTTGTGAACTTTTTATGAACTTTTTAAAATTGTTAAAAAGAGCTGTTTCTCATGTTTTTAAAAAGAGTTGTATCTCATATTTATTTGGATTTATCGTCTTTGCGGGAATTGCGGTGAATCCGGTCAATCCAGTTGACCAATCTCGATAATCTCCAAAAATTTCCGGCGATATTCCGACAAATTCCGATATTTTCCGATACTTTCCGATCTTAAAATTTAGATATGAACTTTTTGCCATTTTTGTGAACTTTTGACGTAAGCGAACATGAATATTTTGAAATTTCATCTGGCAACACTGCATATACGGGGGTAACAAAACCAAAGCAAAATGGCTGACCGGTATTAATAATTATTATTTTTATGTAAATATGTATTAAATTGTTAATAAATACTTTTGTCGCTCAACAAATGGTATTTGGCTATATTATAAAACAATTATACCACTCGCTCTCCGGCTCTCGTCATAAGACTGATAACCGACTCAGTGCTACGCACCTCGTCTGCTATCAGCTGCTCATATACGACTCGAGCTCGTGGTATAATTGTTAATTATATTGTTAAACAAAATAAAACAATACTATTCTTGCATATTTACGTGGCGACATCAATAAGTAAATTAGTTTGTAGGTACACCACGTAAGTATTTAATACTGCAAAGCTTTCGGTCCGTTAACCCGAGCCCTCAAAAAACAAGTGAAGTTATTTTGTTGTGAATCCACTTTCTCCAAAGGGCTTTTTTTGTTTGATGACCCGCTTTTTGCAAGGATGGTCTGTTTATAAGTCTGTTTTAATTGACCTTATAAGGGCAAAACCTCGCCCAGACTTTCGATTGTCTAGCAGCGAAGATAATTTTCGGAAGAAGTTACGTGCAAGAGAATTCCTTTGCGAATTGAACCAGTAAAACGAGATTTCCACATTTCTCACATTTCAATACCTAATTTTTTTTATTAACGATACCTGTTGACATTGTTATATAACTAATTGTATAAACTAGAGAAATTCTAAGATAGGAATGGATATACGAATACTTTCGTTTCAGTGTTGGTTGCATGTGTTCCTTGAAAAATCCTGCGTTCAAGGATACTCTTGTTTTCCCAAAAAAGAAGCCTCGACTGGTCACGATTACATCTCGAGTGTGGGCGGCGTTTTACGAGCATGAAGTGTCAAAACAATATTTGAAAACAGCCTCCGCAGATGGCAATTTCTAGTATTTGAGGCAATATAAAAACCATAGAAACATTGTCTGAACATAACACTTCTCCCAGAGGTTGTAGTTTTATTTTTGCGTTCAAGTTCAAAAGATTTATGAACGCAGATAAGTTGGGTTTTAGAAGGAAGAACTGAAATTTTATTTCCTGTATTGCCTTTGTTTTATCGTTTCGCCTTTGTGACCGCGGCGTAATGAGACCAAACTACGGTGAGTTTTCTCTTGTTTTTGACGTTTTCAGGGTAGTTCACTGCCTAACTTTTTGGTAACGTGTATTGCTTTATTTCGGTGTCTTCTAGTAAGGAAATGAACAGGCATATTCAGGTAAATTCTTCAAAATATTTGGACTTATGTTTATTTATTTTAAAACTCGTGGGTGTTCATATTATTAATGAAATTGCTTCTTTGTGGTTTCAATGTGGGTTAATTTCACTTCTTACTTTCTAAAGTAACCCAGGGTCTAAAATAAAGCGAAAGTGTGTTTATTACAATTTTAGATGGCAAATAAAGAGATTACAAGTTACATACTCTTGTCACTGTTTTTTATAAACCAAGTTTTATGTGAAGGTATGTTATTGTATTATAATTGTTATTTCTGATGATTGAGGACGTTACATGTGCCAAATGTTCTACTTCACATGTTACATATTTAGTGAAAAAATGGATGAAAGATGCTCCATAATAAGCCATTAGTAAATAGAATATCTTACAATAGTATAGTATTTGTTTTCTTGCATGGTGTGTATAAGATTCAATTTCACCCTGGAAGTTATACCCAGGTTAAACATACCTTCACACAATTAGGATTAATTCCAGCATTAGATATTAATGCAAGCTGATGCTACCCATATTTAAGATATTCCATAAATTAAATCTTGTTAAGCATAATCATGCTTATTATCAGATTTAATGACATCTTTTAGCCCAGGTGACTGCATGAAAATTGTTTCACAATTTCATGAGAACGTTGGCCTGCACTAAGTTTTATACATTAGCCAGGGTTGAAAGAGCAGACTATAAACTCTCAGCTTGGCCAGAAAGTTGCTCAGTTGGTAGGTTCTATAGCTAGTACACTTGTAGCCAAACATTGTATAAAGTTAGGCCAAATTTTAGCAAACTCACTAGTTTAACTGATATCATTGAATCAAAAGAAGTGGAAAATCTATATTTGGAGCTAGCTTGTTATAGAGCTATTTTAACCCTCCTTATGCTTTAACCATGCAATTACTTGACTGCTTTATAAGACTGTGATTGTATAAAATGGTAAATAATGCAATCTGTTTTGTGATTACATGATGCAAATGCATAGTTAGAAACTAACTGGCTAATAGATACAATGAATCCAAGGTTTAAAAATTTGGATTTCAGGTTTATAGATGCCGAACTGTTAACTGTGAAGGCCAGCAAAGGGAGTTAATTTTTGTGAAACACATTTCTGTGACATTTGAACTTTTTCCCATCAGTTCTCTTTGTTACATTCATTGTTAGCGGTTGTTCTTCGAGCTAATTGTGTTTTTTTAAAACCAGTTATACCATTTCAACCTTGGAGAGTTAAGGTTGTCATTGAGGTATCCTTAACCACTCTTCCCCCTGTTGGTAAAAGTTAAAAGGGCCAACATCAAATTGTATAGGTTAAGCGATCTGGATGGGGTTAGTACATAAAGGTGGTAGACATTATGTCTATTATTTTTATTGATTAATGCTGTATGTTATTACGCTGCCCCTTACATCAATAGTGTAAAGTTTTGATTTTCCATAGTTAAAACTTGAGTTTTTTTCTCATGCCCTGCAATCTATTTTCCTTCATAAAAGTATTAACTCAACCAGCACAAAATATTTTCTTGCACACTTCCGAAGGCTAATTCAACACAAACACGTTGCATGAAGTCTTGTATTCATACCAAGATATTTTGATAATATAGAATGTTCAGGTCCTCTTGGTATGAGTGATGGTAGAATCAAAGACTCACAAATCACAGAGTCTAGTGTTATGAAAAGAACTACAGCGAATGGTAAACAAGCTCGTCTACGCCAGAATGTTAAACCCTGGGGTGCCTGGTGTCCAGACGACAGTGGAGGATCAATCACTGAAAGGAATTACGACCAGTTTATTGAGATTGATTTACTAAATCTGACGACCATTACCAAAATTGCAACACAAGGACGAGAGTTGAGTGGTGGAACTGAATATGCTAGGGATTATAAAATATCCTACAGTAATTATGGTGAAAAATGGGATTATTATAGAGAGGCGCCTTCAAACGACGTCAAGGTACTGTATGTTTGATATGAATGTGATGTATGTACGCTCCTCTAAAAAATAGGAGCTGCGATCACATGTGACATTTTTAAAAGTAATTCTACCCAGAGGAGTAATTCTACACGTGATTGATAGTTTGCATTTCGTTTCTGCCAAACTGAGTTACTGTGTTCACAGCTGGAATTTTCAAACTGTCGCGTTTTTTGCACGTACCTAGACGTACGTAAAAGTTTAAAACCTTATAAGTTGTTGTATGTATAATTAATTTGATGCCAGAAATAACACACGCAATCATCAACAGAATCCAACCCTATCCAATTATTCGATCGTTGATTAAATCATTAAAAGTATCATTATAAATGTTTTTACGTAACGTACAAAAAAAAACGTGACAGTGGAAAACAGCCCTTAGGCCATGTACACACGGTAACGTTTTCACATCAAACATCGTCAATTTACAATAGAAGTTGAAGTTAATTTCACATATTAGGCAAATTTTTCCTTGGATCGTGTGGACAGTGCGTCTAAACAATAAAATAGACAAAAAAGATTTTGAAAACGCACGAAAACGACGCTCGGTTACACATAACCCTAGTATCAACATATGAATTATGAAAAAGCACATAATATTCTCTTAAAGACACCTAAGTTGATGTTTATCGTCACAGTAAAGGTATGAGGTGTCCAACTGGGAGGTCTCTAAACAACTTTTAACGGTGCAGTTTTACACATTTTTTAGATATTTAGAGGAAACACAAATGTGAATGGTGTTGTTAGACACGAACTAAAACCTTCAATTATGGCGAGGTTCATCAGGGTTTATCCAGGCTATCAGAGCAATTTTAGAGTCTGTATGAGGCTGGAACTGTATGGCTGTGCAGTTGAAAAAGGTTAGTTGATGAAGTTTTGTAGGCGAAGTTAGACGAAGTAGTGGAAACATTACATATGTAGGGGTGTCGTGAATATGTTTTCATCAATGCGAAACTGCTTTATTTACTGTTTTAGTTATTATTTCCTACTCAATGCCAGTTGGACAAACAACCAAGAATGGAAGGTATCACTTTGACGACAGATCTTATAACGGGAATACTGCAAATGGTTTTTACCAAGGTGGCACTGGAATACTCACAGATGGCCAATTTGCTTCAAATAACTCGAAAGATTCGGATGGTAAAGGTTGGGTGGGATGGTCTAGTGTAAACGCTTCGTTACCATACATTGAAATTATATTTCAATTTTCTGGCGTGAGGAAGTTCAAGGATGTTACACTGACTCTGAATGTTGACAGGCCACGTAGTAATGCTGTATTCAACAAATCACGGATATTCTTTGCTTCAACTGAAGGCAGTTTCTCGAAAACATTTCTTCAGTATTGTCCAAAAGATTTTCCATACAAAGATAGTCCATACAATGTAAATGTAACTTTGTCACTTTGTGGAAATACGGCAAGTCTTGTAAAGATGCAGTTATACTTCAGAAGGAAATGGTTGCTAATCACTGAGATCAGTTTTAATTCAGGTATTAGTTGCTTTATTGTTAATTAATTATGGTATTACTTCCATAATACGCTTTACAATCTACACATATCTACATACGTGAATTTACACCTTGTCCAACAAGCAACGTTATCGGTTATTATCTTAGTGGATAGAGAAATTGCTCAAGAATCGCATGCAGAGGTGTACGTTCGAATTCTGCCGGAAGTACTGGGGCCGGTTGTATAAAAACGTCGTTAACTTTAACTATGATTAGCGCTAATCACTGTAGTTAAATCCTTAACTATGATTAGTTAACTACACAACTTAACTGCGTTGCACAAAACGTAGTTAGTCGGATCAAGTAATTACGTAGTTAACTTGCGTGGAGCTTGCGTGGGGTTGTTAAACAGAGAAATAACATGAAGTATCCTGAAATTATTGACCGCTATTATTGATTTTGAACAAGACTGTGGAGGAGTCGTGTTTACAAAAATTGACAGTATTTTGATCTAAAATATTGGAAAAAATGCAATAAAACAAGGAAAAAAATCAAAATAATTCAAAGAAAATGGCGCTCTTTGTAATATACCAAGGTCCCTTTGAGTCAAAATACCGGTTGCAGTTGAAAATGGAGATGGCTAATCTTTGCTAGGATCGCAATTTGGCATCGACACGTCTCCCGAAGCGAAAATATACTCTTTTACTGCCCAAATGAAAAAAATAAAAGCATATTGAAAGTTTACAAGCTTCGACGGGGCAATGTATAACGGTTGACAACCTTGGTATGTGTTGATTTTAATGCTTTCTCACTCGCCAACGATGCTATCGTTATCCACACACGCTATCCTCGGGCTAACGATGCCCTTGAGGATAGTTAACTTTAACTACTTTTTAACTGCAGTTAAGGCTAACTACACTTTTATACAACCGGCTTAACTACGTGATTAAAGTTAACTACTTTTTAACTCTTTTTAACTACTTTTTAACTGCAGTAAAACTGAAATAAGAAGCAGGTATACGCGCCCTAGGATGAAAAACTCTCTCTCAAAAAAAGATTTATATTATATATAAAAAACAAAAATACATGAATGCTTTGAAATATGGTATTTATTTCATTCTCAACACTCGAAATAAGTTCCATATTTCCGCGCATCCATGTATTATTCTTTATGTAATATTTTAATATATTGCTTGTATAAAATGCAATACTATTATGGCACAATCGTTGTAAGACTGAAGATTTGAAACTTGTGACATACAAATTGAGAAGAAAAACAGAAGTTTGTCCCGGTAAAATTACGATTTACGCGAGGTACAAACTAAAGGTTTTAAGTAGAATATACGACCGGTGGTTTGTCCAGGTGTTCAGGTGCCTAGGGTGTACGGGAACCTAGGGTCACAGAATACCTATCAGAAGAATAACTTTATACTATTTTTTCGTAAGTGTGATTCGTCATGATTCGTCACTTAGCAAGTGCATTTTTTTGAGGCATTGACCCCCCTGCCAAAATTTAGCAATATGGCGCGTGACCACCTTAAGTACAGGAGTTCTACTTCTGTTAGGTATTCTGTGCTAGGGTGTACGGGTACCTAGGGTATACGGGAACCTAGGGTGTCCAGGTACCTAGGGTGTACGGGAACCTAGGGTGTTCAGGTACCTAGGGTGTACGGGAACCTAGGGCACAGAATACCTTACAGAAGTGGAACTCTATACTATTTTTTCGTAAGTGTGATTCGTCATGATTCGTCACTTAGCAAGTGCATTTTTTTGAGGTAGTCACCCCCCTGCCAATACTAAAAATGGCTTGATTTTAGACATTGGCAGGGGGGTGACTACCTCAAAAAAATGCACTTGCTAAGTGACGAATCATGACGAATCACACTTACGAAAAAAGTACAGGAGTTCCACTTCTGTAAGGTATTCTGTGCCTAGGGTGTACGGGAACCTAGGGTGTCCAGGTACCTAGGGTGTACGGGTACCTAGGGTGTACGACTAGTAAAAATAATGCAAGATTAGACCGTTAGTTCGTTTCTGTTGTTAGTTCAGTGTCAATAACACATGCCTTACTAGCAAATTAACTTTATCTCTGTCTTTATTCTTGAATTGCTAAATTACAGAGAGTACGGAGAACAAGAGGCCAGTGAACGATTGCTCAGAGACACCTTCAACAACATGTTCCGTTAACAGTCCACCCTCCGTGATTGGTGTTTCAACAACTGAAGCACCTGAGTCTGGATGTAAATGTTAGTAGTTAGTAAGTTGTATATATAGTGTAATAGTCAAGAAGACGTTGCTGTACGATGCAGGGTGATTTTAGGCGAAGAATGAAATTGGGTGATGTGTTGTAGTACGTGATGTAGGATAGGTGGGTGATGTATAGTGTTAAGCTTGTGGTGATAGATAGGTGATGTGTGGTGGTAAGTTATGGATGATGGTAGGTGTTATATGGTGGCATGTGATAGTCGGTGATGTTGGTAGGGGATTAACGCTGCTGCTATTAGATGGCGATAATTGCGCTCGTATTGGTAAATCTGATAGACCTATAACATTTATTGCATCATGTAGGCTCACAGTGGTAGTGCATGGAACTAAAATCCGAACCTCAGTCAGTCGTTAATTTGTTAATTGCAATTGCTGAGGGTGGCTGATTACCACCAGAGAGAGTGACAGTGACGGTGAAAGTGACTCAAGGTGATGATAAATGCCATTTTAAATTTTTCAGCTTGTTCCACTGCAGTTCCAGAAGAGATCTCTTCGGACCCAAACAATCTTCAAATGACAATCATCATAGTTTGTGTTGTTCTTCTGGTCATTATTATTCTTCTTGTTGTGATGTTCCTTCTGTATCGCCGCAGAGCGCTGTGTTTTGGTAAAATAAAACGAGACAAGACAGAGAAAAATATACACGTTGAACTTCATAACGTAGAACATGCTGAAGAGACGACGTATGATAAGATTGATGACAACTTAGGAAACCCACTTTATGCCAGTGTTGGTGCCAATGATGACGATACTGCACCCATGTTGTCTCCTGTTAAGAAAAAGCCAAATGAATTTATTCCATCAAAAGGTTTGTACTAAGCTGTTATAAACTATATCTCAAATGTATTGTTCAGATATAATTTGCGGTCAGGAACGTGGAAAACAACGTGAAAACTGCGAATAAACGGTGTGATGCGCCCAAGTATGGAAGCGCCGTGCATTTATTCTCAAATTTTACGTCCTCGTGCTAAATCCGTCTAATATTTTCGCTCAACTGCTAATAACTGCTTTTGAAAGTACGATGGTCCAGTTTTATGGTTTCAGGTCGTACTCTATAGCATTTTTTCTGGAATTAAATTAATTTCTGGAAGTAAATAATCATTGTTTGATCATTGATAGATGATCGGGCATCAGAATTATACTCTGAGCCAAACGTGGCTGATATGAAACCACCGGTGAAAGAAGAATACGCTGAACCAGTTGACAGTTTACAACCAAATATAGATCCTGATGATATCCAGGGTAATCCAATATACGAAGGAATTTACTCTGAACCTCTTTATGGCATTGCTGGGACCATCCTGGTCGGCCCTCAGGTACGATAACTTGACTGCGTCTCTCGTGTCCAACATTTTGTTGTCTGATAATTGTCTTCTGCGTGTCATTGTTGCATCATTGGTAGTTTCACTTGCAGTGGATTGAGATGCGTACTTATAGAATTGCTTTCTGTTATAATGACATTTCTATAATACCATTTTTGAAATTAGTAGCTATCTCTAAACAATAAATTTAGTGAAACCACTAATGTCATTTTAACATCGTAACCTTGACACCCTCTATCGTGTCAAGCACCATCATTCCAACGATGGTCATAATCAAATATCTTGTATGTTTCCTGCAGGAGGAAACACTGAAACGTGGTTACACAATGGAGAAGTTTCCCAGAGATCGTCTGGTTTTCAAGGAAAAGATTGGGGACGGCCAGTTTGGAGAGGTTCATATTGCTGAGGCTGATATACGCGATCTGAATGCACAATTTGGAGAAGATTATGCAGGCAAGACAAAAATCACAGTTGCAGTGAAAACGTTGAAGGGAGACGTGAAAAAAGATGCAAAGACTGACTTCTTCAAAGAGGTTCGAGTTATGTCTAGACTACAGCACGAAAACGTGGTCAGACTATTGGGTGTTTGCCGAGATGATCCTATCTGTATGATTGTTGAATACATGGAGAACGGTGATTTGAATCAGTTTTTGAAAGGTCACGTGTTAGAAGATGATAATGACGTCATGATATACGCAAACACGAAGCAGCCAATCAGCTACGAGGAGTTGATTTACATTGCGTCACAGGTTGCGGCCGGGATGAAGTATTTTGCCGCTATGAACTTTGTTCATCGTGATTTGGCTGCAAGAAATTGTTTGGTTGGCGAGGGTTTGACTGTTAAACTTGCCGACTTTGGAATGTCTCGTTTGTTGTATTCCAAGCATTATTACCGCGTACAGGGTCGTGTGATGTTGCCAATCAGATGGATGGCGCCTGAAAGCATATTTCAAGGTATGGATGTAACTATCTGGATTTCACTGTATTGTACCTTGACATCGTTGACCAATTATAAACTGAACTTTTGAATGCTCTATACTAAATGAAGCCTGCAGCGAACAGAATAAACATTGTTTGTTTTGCCATGTTCATCTTTCTTTCTTGATGGCTGTTTCCTTGTTGTGTAGTATACCACTGAATCAACACTTAGTGTCTTCAGATCAACGAAAATGACATTCCCGAGCCTCGCCACATTGAGCCCTTTTAAAATGAAATCTGCATATCTCAGCTGAGTATGTTGAGAGCACAGTATACTTTTAAAATCTGTAACAGCGGAGCAGAGAAATGGTTCATGTCTGACCGATATTTTTAGCGAAAATTACTACTGCATGCATAGGCAGTGTAACACCACCAATAAGGTAAACATATACACAAGTGAGACCTAAGCATATTTAAAAACCGTCATTTACCAGCGGAACTCATAAATAACGATGACTTTGGTGCTCGAAATTTCTAGTCACTGCATACGTTGCGCTCTTTTCTCTTTAGGTCGTTTCACAACACAAACTGATATCTGGTCATTTGGTATTACATTATGGGAGATCTTTACTCTTGCCCGAGACTTTCCTTATCCAAATCTTCCAGATGAGCAGGTTATTGGTAATGCGAAAACAGCTTTTACTAAAGGTGACACTGGAGTGATTTACAATGACAAACCTGATATTTGCCCTCAAGATGTCTTTACGATGATGTCAAAATGTTGGAGCAGTGACCCTACGAAGCGCCCGGATTTTAATACCCTGTATGAATTTTTGATGGCTAAGGTAGGATCTGTAGAGACAGCTGTGGTTTGAAAGGGTGATTTCGGTGATAGTGAAGGATTTCGGTGTACGGTATCGTGTATGGTTGAAAGGTAGCAACAAGCGATACACACCAGTAGCTTGAGATGAAGAAACATTGTTTTTATAGTAAAAGACGATAGTTTAAAAAACAACGATATTTTCAATAAACATTTTTCAGATTTTAATTTTGTTTAGTAAATATACAATAAGTTCATACATGAACAACACGTCCCTAAGTCTAAGATAAAAAACGTTAAACATAAAATATTCTTTCATATTAGAATCGAAATCATATTAGAAAAAGTAAGTCACGCGTCTAGTTTTAAGCGCGACTAGAATAGCACGTGAGCTAGGCTTTAAACAAACCTGTCAGGTGATCAGGTGATCTGAAATAGCGGTGAAGGACTGGGATTAGTCATCAAATGAAGATCATTTCTCAGTTGAAACTTGCTATAGTTCTTATAACTAAACATGCATAATAATAAAATTTAGCTTCATAAAGAATATCAAAAGATATAATTGATTAAATACTGCAAAGTTAATTTATATTTTTTTCAACATCTCTGAGCGCTGATTGGCTAAAATATGAGCGGGAGATCACCTGGTGTATTCGTCTTACAAAAGATGGCGCAAGTATTTTATATTCTTTATACAGCAAGCTCGCGTGTTTTTCTTGTATATAACAGCCACAGGATATAGTAATATTAGGGTTAAGTAGCATGACCGCTGAAAGGTCAAAACATTTCGTTTCAAAAACAAGTACTGTATTTGCATTTTAGTTTCATTCTTTTGTTAACTTATAGTTTTAAGATATGTATGAATTGTATAACGTTTTTTTTTTCAACGCTCTTGGTATATTTGAAAATAGAATAAGTATATTTGATTTGTATTACAGTTCAATTAGTTCAATTAAACGTTTAATAAATTCTTTATAGATATAAACCGTCCGTTGACGTTGTGTAGATTGAATATCATGCAAAAAATGATAAACTTTAATGGCTACTAGCGTTGTGGTCCAGCGTTGGTAGCAGTTAGAACAACTTAAATAAGTCACTATGGGCTTGTCTGAATACCAGAAATATAATTTCTGAGAATGAGATGATGCATGTCCCACCACATGGCATGTTCATCTTATTGCAAACAAGGAATTATTAAACATATCAATAAAAACCTTAAGTAAATAAAACAACGCAATATAGACAAGACAGTTTTGCAAGAGCTCAGTTTTTTAAGAGAGTTTTGTTACCTAACAAGGGTATTTATGTGTGTGAGTATATATGTCGATCATGAATTTGCGTCTGATGCCTGGTCTAGGCAATTATTACTAGATTCTAACTCTGCAACCGTGGAACTGAACACATTAGAAACTAAAGCGTGAAAAACTAAACTAAACCTGGGTTTAAACAGAACGTTTAAAATGCAATTGTGTTAAGTTTTGTAAGACATTTTGTATAAGAGTATGGCATGAGGAAACACTTCCTTTACGTTCAAAACAAATGGCAAAGCACTTGGTTTGTGTGTGTGTTAGAAAATGGCAGCAAACATCACAAGAACAAAAAGAGCCAACATTTTCGGATCTTTTTAAGTTTGTGTGTTCAACAATAATAAATATCCGCACTTTACAGATACCAACTGTAGGTATTATCTACATTTAACTATATATAAGTTGAAATATATTATGCATATTGAGAACATTAGCACTGAATTGATCGCGCATGCACAACTCGCCTTGCTTAGCCACACGCTCTAATAATAATATCCTTCTAATATATGATTAATAATTCTATTGACTCATGTCTTGCTGGTTTCTGTGGCTAGGAATTAGGAGTTCAGGAATTAACTTTGACCCTGACCAACAGCAAGACATAAACCAATATGGCAACCAACGTTATCAAAACAAAAACATTTCCCGGCGTAATGCCATTAATGTTCATATTCATGTTCAACATTAGCCGTGAATTGATTTGTAATGTTAGAACTTGCAGAGCGATTTCGGACACAAAACTATGTTATATGTATACCGTCCCGCTGGGAAACTATGAGCAGATTTGTTAGTATACTTAAGGAAAGCAAAGCAAAATTAACTTGAATAATACTGTAAGGATATGAAATGAAATATATGCGACCGATGGCGTTTCTCTTTGTGGCTACACTACATGGCTCTGTCTGGAAATAGCTTTGCAAGTTTCTTTCAGTTTTAACACTAATATATAAAGACAAACTCCTAAGGCAAGCTGGCATACCACACGGCACAGATACTATTTTATACACACTGCACACATCTTTACACTAGATTTAATTTCAGCATAATATCAACAATCTCGTCTCCGGCTGGTCTTAAATGTACAGGTAGCGCAGTTCTAAACGCTCGTATTAAATCATGTGTGCCTCTTTTAGTAGCATTGATTTCTTTAACCATATCCGAAGACGGTTTAATCATTAGATAACTCTGTTTGGCACTAGCTAAGACTTGTTCGTGTACCACAGTCCAGTTAATTTCGTTACGTAATTCATCCCACTTGGCACGTGAAGAACGCATGTCTTCTCGTTCAGCATCTGTGGGGCAATTTTCAATATAACTTTCCATTTCATCAATCGTCCGAGGAAATATGAAAGGTCTAACAACTTTTGCCGGTAGAACATGTTTAAATATATAAGCCTCTAGATCAAACGCCGCTTTCCCGGCAATTAAAGCAAGTTTTTTCTCCAAAGCCCAGGCTTTACGATTGTGCCATGTTTTCTCTCCTGTTGCATAAGAAGTGTTGCAATTGGCACACGTGTTGAAATGTATACCATTTGAACTGTGGCCATTGCTTGTGCCTTCGCTGTCCCCATTAAGATGTTCGTTTGTACCTTCCGGGCTATCTTCTAGAGAATCTGAGCTTGTATCGCTCATATTGTTTATACTGTGGGATCCCAATCCGTCGCTATGTACATCATGTTCAGTTCCTGTTCGCGTTGATCGAGGTTTTGAATCTAATTATGACGTCACTTCATTGTGACGGGGCGCACGTGCCTAATAACAACACAGCAGAATAGAGAATCTTCCAGAGACTCCTACAGAGAAATTCTCGTCCGACTCATGCCAGGATGGCGTCAAAATGTCATCTGTATTTCGGAGAATTTCGATTACATATATTTTAAACATGAATAGCAGTAATGGTGTATATTGTCTTTATCATATCAAGATCGACTGATTGTTTATTGAGGCTGTCTTCCACAAGGCAAGATTTTTCCCCAACAAATCCTTCATTTTGTTTTGCGAGTTAACATTTAAAAGAAATCTTCAATCTCAACAGGGCCAGTTTCAGAACATACAAGTATCACACCTGCGACCTTGCCTGCCACTTTCATGTAAATATCACTTTTTATCCACTTCCCCCGCATTTTTTTTCCGTTTAATTGAAATATAGGTACACATTTCAACTTCTTTGACATGAAATAGTGACAACAAACTTTTCCATGACAACTAAACGCATAATTGCCTTTAGAGCAACTATCAATTACTTGGAGTTCAAATCTTCAGCGGCCTGTTCAAAGTTCATATGAGTTTTTACACAATAGCTGTGCGCCCTAACGAGATTGTGGCGGTTTTCTTCACCCAATACAAAGTCCGTAATGATGGCACATACTGCATATTCGGCCTAAGCACTTCCTGCCTTGCCTTATAACCCGGTGTACGCTGCCAAGGTTTCTGTCAATCACAGCTGGAATTTTCAAGCGTTAAAATCCTGAATTTTAAAGAATTCGCCTTGGCTGAACTCTGTTAAGGGCTGTGCATTCCTCTTTCGCGTTTTTTGCACGCACGTGAGGCACATGAATGCTAGAAAACACAGCAAATCATGAACACTGAACAGAATCCAAGCTTATGCATCTATTCTATCGTTGAGTTCATAAGTATCATTTAATTGATTTTAAACTTTTACATGCGTATACGTACACGAATAAAAAGCGCTGGTATTTGTTATAAATTCGTAAAACTTGGCATGGATATAGCAATTCATGCCAAGCACTCACAAAAATTTTAACCTGTCTTTTTGCTGCACGATCGAGCGTTTGAGATAAACAGGAATCTCGTGACTGGGCTCAGGGCGCAACACTCTTGATTTGCCAGGTTTAACGCGTTGCCTAGCCCTAGATTATTTTAGTTGTTAACCAGAAGATAAGGTCCTTTAGTACATAAGCTAGTCGGGAGAACTGGAACGCATGCTAGTCTACTAAGCGTCATTATAAAAAACAAGTCAAGAGTTCTCATATTTTGCAAACTTCTGCTGTTGCTAATTGAATTTTCTGAATGTTCCATCCGGAGAACTTTACTGAAATGCGCGTTTGGGATACTCGTTGATAATTGATGACGTCAACAACAAATAATTAACATATCAATTAGAACTCAGAGCCTAAATATTTAACACAGGACAAACACAGACTGTATAATATTGTATCCGATTATCAGCGTTTGTCGGACGAACTTTCCTTTGCAGAAAAAGCATGAAGAATTCATCTCTAATGACGCCAGATCCGTACCACATACCAGGGTAAGTTAAGAGGTATTGTCGTGTTAGCGTGCCTTCATATCGTGAAAATGAGCAGTAATAATTGCAATTTGTCTTGTTGCTTGGTTGGTTCCTTAATCCGTAAACAAAACCCATCGCTAGACAACCTATATAATAGACGCAAAAAACGCTTAGAAAATTACACTCAAAATCATGGTGTCATGCAATATAGGGTAGAGTTAATAGAAAATATCGCAGCGTCTTATAAAGAAGGTGATTTATACACTCGAGTCACTGCTGATATAAATGTCATACCGACAGGCAAAGTTGCGTCCGTCCTGGTTTGTGTAAATATTACACCACATTGCGGGTCATGAACTTCACTCGTATTACAACTGATTAGTTTAAAACCTTCGTGTGTGTATTTCATCTGCTTCTATCTGGTTTCATTCGTAGCCCTAGAGATTGTAACTCTTCTGGGCCTGTTTGAGAGTCTCTGTACAGCGTCAGTCAAGCAACTGGGTTTCAACCGTTGAACCGGGCCGGCGATCTGCACGTCAGTAATAGATCGAGAACATGGCTGAGTTTCGACATTTATTAAGCCACCTTGTGATTCAGAGATTTTCAGGTTAAAAACTCCGGATTAACGAACCCCTGCAACCTAAGATAATTATGATAAATCTAGGATTATTTCATTTGTTGCTGCATGAATGATCTCGTTCACGTTTCTCGTGACACAATGTTGCTATGTCGGTACAAACTACAATGTAAGTTCCATCAAAATAAAGTGTCGGGATTTGAATGTCTTAATTCTACTCTTCTTCCATTCATCTTATTCTATGAGTAAAGAAAAGCATGCATCATACCAGTCTTATTGGCACAGGTGGATGTTAGGGGAAAACGTGCAACGGTTGATCCGTTGATGGAATTCCCAACCAATGAAGCACGGTTTGTACCACGCCGTAGACCGCATAGTTGACAACGAAAACCTTCCCGAATTTTTATTCAGATACATCGGCTACTGTCCACAATTCAAGTACCAAATCGGCGAGACATTTGGCAGAACAACCTCACAGCTTCTCACAGATTCACGAATCGCTAGTTCTGGTCAGCCTGTACTCTCACCTCTCGATCCCAATCCACCTGCGCCCGATCAAAGGCGACAGCTGATATCGAGACGAGCTTTCAAACTTGGAGATCAAAAGCTGTTTGAGAAGATGGTCCCTGGTTATACAGGTAGGAAAAGATCGATGAAGAACAACCTTCTTACAATACATCATGATGTGTTTTTAAATAAAAATAAACCTATTTCTAGGCTTCATCCCTAAAAGTGAACATCATTTTGGGAAACGCTATGCAGAGACGAGCCTTAGTTCAGTGGCAAGCTTCGAGGCAGACCAGGAGTTCAACAGACGTCGCTTGCGAGACCTTCAGACTGTTCAAGCGCTGCAAACGGGTGAAGAGGTTCCAGGAGAATTAATCAACGAAAAAACAATAAAACTAACAAACCATGAAACGCCATTGAAGAAGATCAGAACTCACCCAGCCGTGTATTATTCAAGGATGTCACCTCAACATTCGCTTTCGCCTCTGACGATGGGAAATGAAAACCCAAAGAAATATTTTATGTCTGGTTATACGGGATTTGTCCCTCGGGCAAGAGGTTAGTTCAAAGGGGAATTCCCTGGAAAGCTACAGCTAAAACTCTCCGTATTATCGGTGGATTGACTCATTTGACTGGATTCCCGTTTCCTCGCTGGAGATATGCATGTGAATTTTCCCTATTAGTAAATTACTCCTGTATTTCATTTTGTTACTATATTTTTGAACTGAGAGGTTTTTCTTGCTGTATTTTTTACTTTCTAGGCCTTATTGGAAGTGGATATCCAACGATTAGTAATAAAGGTCTTTGTGACTTTACGGACGAATGTGAAAGGTTGAAGAATGTTAAATCAAAACCAGTGAAAGTTCATCGTCATATTGTCAAGAAGAATGAAAGTAAACCGTTGTATTTGAAAGATACTGGAATGGTGCCACATTACACTGGACATGTTCCCGGTAAGATAGTACTCTTTGCAACGAACTATTCTGAAGTTGCGGGGTTATACGGGTTATACTGTTTCTAACGGTAAAGAACGGATTATACTGTTTCTTGACAATGCATCATAAAAATATTTTGGGGATGTAAACAAGCTCGTCCCAAAGATAGGCCTATGATGCCCTGTCATCTCGCAATTCGTTTCTTTGCCAGTAAAACTGGACCATTTTCTTGTGTAACCGGACCTGACCATTTTCTTGTGTACTTATTTCCGTATATAGGTGAAAAGTTTAGATATGGTCAAACCTTTGGATTCAGTACGAAGAACGCTCGACAGCCTATCGAAACATTCTAAAAAGAACTGTAAGGTTTGGGAAACCCTGTGTGATGAATAATGTAAACTAAGCTTAAACATTTCAGATCATTTATTATATGCACATTAACACCAAAATTATATTCCAAAAGTCATTATTCGAGAGAGAAAAAACTTTACCACATAATGTTAAATAATGTTACCACAATTACAATGTCTCAACTGCCTGTTATAGCTAGTCTCCATGCCACAGCGTGGCTAGAAGCGTAATTGGGGCGGGGGGGTTGACTCTTCTCCAATTAAGCGTTTAGCCTCGTCGTTGTCTCCATGTCGTTCAAGTCATTCTTGATATTTCACGGAGGTTTTATTGACTGTCTCTCGAATTTGAGGCTGTTGATTTTACTGCTCAATTACATATGGTATATAAATATTGCTGTTTGATTTCATCTGCTGGAATACGTTGGGAAAATAAGCAACAGTAAGGTCTGATTTCATAGTATATCGTTGAATATATTTAATTTTATTTGAATAACATTTGTTTATTCCATTGCTACAATATATTAGCATCGTTGCTCAAACATTCAATTCAATTTGAATATGGTTTGACCATGCAGTATAAACTTAAAGATACATTTGACATCTCTGTACATAATTTCCCCCAACGTATATAAATTGTTCTTTAGTCTTCTAGTTGTAACAACGAGAAGGCATTTTGCATGTCAATTTCTTCCTGGCTACCAATCTCTTCATCAGTATTCTCCGATGACCCACTCTCATGTGCTCTGGCGGCCTCGTCTAATCGCCACTGTTTCAAATCGCTAAATTGCTGTTGCAATTTTGCGATTTCCTTTGTCTCAGGGTTTGCTTTCCAAATTTCTGTATCAGAAAAAAACACAAGAGATAACAAATAATAATCTGACATAAGGTGCATTGTATAGAAGTTACTGTGCCAGTGAATGAGGTGTATCTACTACCATATTAGGCTGATTTTTTTACTTTTAAGTTTTTCTTTTAATACCTTCTTTTGATGTATATCCCGGGGGATAAAGGCAAATGACAATCTTTCCATCTGTTGCCAATCTCAAAAGATTGTTAGCTAGAATGTGCAAAAATTATGGAAAGTAGTATGAAGTATGTCTGTCATAACGAAACCTTTGATAATCTAGTGCTGGATCACATACCTGCTCTGTAGGTGTCAGGTCTTCCTGCTTTCGCTGTGTGAAAACCTCTCTGTTCCGCCCAAGCTAAAAATTGACAACAGCGCGCAGTTAGGAAAGCGTGATTTGCCTAATCACAGTTAAACAGAAGAAGAACAAGGGCCGTAAGACATAACCATTCCTGAACCGGCTAAAGATCGGGCAATTCCGCCCACCAATTATCATGTGTTATCTAAACAATTACCGTCACAGATATCCCATGCAGACCACTTTAGATCCACGAGAGTATTCTCATCATCTTCTTGGGTTGCCTTTGGATGCACAAGATTGAGAATCTTCTCCAGGGGGGTGCATGCTGCTAAATACCCAACAACGGAATACGGTTCTCTGACTTGAGCAATAGGATATGTTCCTGAGAGGATCTAAACAGATTTTAGCTACATATAGAAACATGGCGGGAGAAACATGATGGAAATGTTTTTAGGATTACCTGTAGTCTTTTGTCAACCAGAGATGGAAAAACCAGACCAGGAGAGTCACACAACCGTACAGATGGCGTCAAAAATATTGTTTGAAAATGTTTCGTATGACCTGGAGTCCTTGAGCAGCTCACAACCTGAGAAAAATACGTGCGGTGTGGTAACGATGTGCGTTTGCATACCACGATAAATTTTGTGAAAATAGGCCTCCGCCCCTGTTTGGTCCAAGAACGGAGTTCTTTGCTAAAACTTGGAGTGCCGTCTGAGTGCGTGATGTTTTTCACAAAAGAAAAAAATGCATTATTACCTTTCTACCAATAAGACCATTAAGTAATGAAGACTTCCCGACATTTGGATGACCTGAGAAAGAAAAACAAAATGTAATTTTAAAAACAACAACCGAAACAGCAGCTTTTACCATTTTACTTGAGTTTGATAATTGCGACATACCCACGAGTCCTATGGTTAAAATTCCTTCTTGTTTCTCAACGTCTTCACATATCGTGCTATCATCTATTAAAATAAATCCACGGATATTTTTTTCCGCAATGTATTCTGGCAAATTTAAGAGAGAATCGTAATTTTTACCTTCATCTTCATCAGAAGACAAACATTCTTCATACGACACTCCTTCGTTCGTGTTGTCTTCTTGATTTTCAATATGATTCAGCCAATCCTTCAAGTTCACTTCGAAGATATTGTAGTATACTTATTAAATGTTTAATTGATTGGCCATGGGAGTATTTTTTACGCTGAATAGGAATACAACCAACCTTTGCCATGCATGAGATTTTGACACACACGATGCAGTTCTCTTGGTCCAACTGGAATAAATGATCGTTTCTTTCGTCTTCGTGAACGTTTCTTGACTGAAATGACAGAAATATCTCGTCTGTATTCATAAATGTTTTCATGTTAGATTGTTCGTGCTGTCTGAAAACCCTTTTTAATTGAATCAAGACGAGTTAAATATATTTAGACACAAACCTTTAACTTCCATTTGCCTTATTTCTTCGGAGTCTTTTGGAAATGAAGTGAAACATATTATATTAAGGTCAGGAAATTTCCCCTGGAAGTAATCTTTCCAAGCTACAACAACTTCAGGTGAGACAAGATCAATCTAAAAATATTTAAATCAGCATATTCATTCTGGATGAGTTTTCATTTTAGGTGAAGTACAAAATATCAACGCAGGAACCGAAAGACGGTGCAGAACATTAACATTGGCCAAACAATTCAACGGAAATTAGACTTGCTTTGTTTAGAACAAGAATCACATCTTTCTTCAGGTCAAATCTGGCATATGCGTAGAGAGTGGGCGAAAAATGAATGATCTAAAAGAGAAAGAGAGAGATGACATGTTATACTAGTCTTTATAGAGTTCGTTTTATTCATTCAGTTTAGCCACGCTGTGACTGTAGGCATCGCACTGGAACACGAAATCAACTTGCAATACGTACTGGATAACGAACATCTGTGATAATCACAACAATGTTAGATACTTCTAAAACCCGCCATAATTGTCTCCATGTCTGAAAAAGAAATTATACTAGTTTTTCAATCGTCTATAATTTGACGGGCATAATAATTGGAATAGAAATTGTTATTACGTATTGTCTTTACCTCAAGGTTCATCTCAAAGTAACTAATTTCTGTGCTTTGATGTTCTTGCTTTATGTTTTTAATGTATTGTCGAAACATCGATTCTTCGTTTGCTTCAACTTGTCTCTTGTCCATTTGGTAGTTCCATTTCGGTCTTTTTGGCATGTCCAAAACTAGAGAGGATTTACGGCAGATGATGAATGGTATGGCGGAATAACATGATGATGACCCATTGAATGCGCTAATGTAATGATTTTAAGAATGGTATAGTTGTGATATAAGGCTGATAAGGTGTTAAATATATTTTTGGTGTTTGGCGCCAGATCTATAATTACTACTACTTTAGGGCAGCATCCCACCATATTGGAGAATAAATCTGCCTTTACTGAACTTGTGTCATTTGACAGATGGACTAACTGATTCTTACATATAGCCAAAGAATTTCACCTACACAATCCAATTTTCCAACAATAGGGCTCAAGCATCAGAGCCTTGTTATGATTTCTAATTTCTATTGTAGTCCATCAACTAAAATTACCTGTTCCTGGTTTATAGATGTCTTCAAGAGTAAATTCCAGTTCATGCTGTTCATAAAATTGAACAAAATTATTCAAATCATGAAAATAAGAAAATATTGCAAAAGTTTGTAATAATAATTCCAAGTCCTACCTTGGTGTAACGAATGATAGGTTTTCGTGCTCGCTCTTTTCTTTTTTCAATTTCTTCATTAGTTTCATTTTGGAAAAAAAGTTTGTACCTATTGTGATATAAGACTTAAATAACTTTTGTATACTACCAGATGGGCCTGATACATAATAATGTAGCTTAGTGTACCTAGAGTCTATCACTCTACTGTCCAACATTTTACCAAAAAAAAATAGATATTTGACTTTCAAGCATTGTTTAATCCCCCAAGAGGGTAATTGCTTTCATATTCAACAGTCTTCAAATGTGATCCTACCTATCAGGGTCATATGGTCTTCCACTGAACCTACTAGGATCTGGTTCTTGATGGCTTTTTTTGTAAATATATGATCTTGCAAGTGATGTTTGTATTGATTCTTCTGAGTCTAAATCACTCAAGTGATGTGTCACTGTTGGCTTGGGAACGCCATGTTTAGTACCCAATCCTAAAAATGGTTACAGTCACATAGTATAAACAGTCATAAAGTTTACAGTTTAATAATCTCTCGAAAAAGGTAATTCAGCTGACATTGATATTAGTTTTAGATTTTTAGAATAGTTTTATAGTCTCAATATTCTGGCCTATGGTAGCATCAAATGCAATTACCAATTGCATCTAAGGCATTTACTAGCCATTAAAGAACAATCATGAAATTTTACCATTAGGTACGGGTTGATTAGTTGTAGGTTGTAGGTTAGAGAAAAGCACTTGCCACGCCTATGGACTATGGAGAGCCCCAAAGTTACTAAATATAAGGACCATAAAGTACTACCACTGCATGTGTTAAATTACTAAAGTCAACTTGTCTGTTTACTATTTAATTTTATTTAATCATGACAATATATATATTTGGACTGAGAATATATACTCTGTCTAAAAGCAGACGATTTAACTTTACCAGATTTAATTGACTTGCGCATTGATGGCACCTAAGAATGTTTAATATTAAATGTTCCCACAACAACAACAGAAAACGTTTTATCACAACTAAGATAAAAATCAACGTAATTTTAACTGCCTGCTAGTTACCCGTATCTGTATCTTGTCTTTTCTTTTTCAGTTGTTCTTTCTTTTGTTTTCCACTGTACGGTTTTTTTCGTGGCATGCTATTGGGAACGTCGAAAACATTTAGAAAGGACGACGTTTGGATGATGGAAAATTTATTAGTAATTAAATATTTTCACTTTATTGAGTTTTAATGTCCAGGTTTTAGCTTTATCTAAAATTTAAAATTAATCCTATTCCAAGAAAAACCTTTCGGAAGATAATTGATAGGTATGTATAGAGTGTAGAACTTATTTGAGAATCATTGGGCCGTGGTTGTCGCCTTCTGAGGGATGGAAACTTTTTGTCTGACTTACTTCGCAGCATTTTGTACCACAAAAACGAGTTCACTGTCAAAATGCTGATATTTTGCTTAAGATAAACAATCCGTGCATAAAAGATAGCCATATAATTTTAGAAGTTGCTGACATACTAATGGAGCCTAATATTGAACAAGAAGGCAGTGAAAATAATGAAAATTTACACAATATGTCAGGTATGAAATTCTAGATTCTCATAAACTAACTCTGTTCGAAAACTGTTGGGAGAATCTGCATGTTATCGTGTTTTGTATTTAGTCAGAAAGTTAAGATTTAATACTTTATTGCGTAAATTATCTATCGTAAAGAGTAAAGGTAAAAAACGTTTGGGACGTTTTTCCTTTAGTTTGTTTTATTGCGTTGTTTTTGTTAACATACTGGTGCTTTGATGCCACTGTGGTTTATGGGCTTTCTTGTTTATGCTTTATAAAATGTGAAAGGAACAAAAGACGTTATGAAAGTGGTTGATTTGCAGATATCTGGGACTTTGTTTCTTGAGTTTTTAATACTGCATCATTCCTCAGCAGGCTCAGCTCACAGTTCATTACACTTTCAACAAAACTCTTCTGATTGTCCAATCAAAGAAAGTTTCCATTACAAACAATTATAATTTTACCCATTCAGCTATTTGTATTACTTTATCTGTAATTCTTTATCATTCTCCTGTGACCTGTGTGCTAAGATGACAAGATAAAAAATATTAACTATCACCTTCACATCTTGTATGTGTCACAGTTGATGAGTCATTGTTATCAACCTAGTTGGTTAAAACCTAATTAGCACTAACCTGAGTTGAATCTCAACCTGTTGTCTCAGTTTTTGTATTCATGGATGGATGTTCTGTTCATGACTTAGGGAGTAAAAAAGATTTCTGAAACAACCCATTCAACTTGGTAAATATACCATTGGAAAGTTTGCTTTACAGATTTGCATTGACCCAACTGGTTAGACTAACATCATGCTTTTCCATTTTGCTTCTGCCGGGTATAAATTAAATAGTTATGTATAGTCAATAGTCTCTGAAAGGTCTTGTTAAACTCATGACAGTAGAAGACTTAAGTATAGAAAATGGTCTCAACTTATACAACTTGTACAAGTACTGCATGGAGTCGACTGATGCCATCTGAATAATAATGTTTATCTTAACAGGTCACAATTCTTCAGACATAGAATCTCAAGATGAAAACGACATCAACAATGCAAGCCAAAATTCTCTTGATGTTCTCAGCAAATTAGCATGTGAAAATATTTCTGAGGTACCAGAGTACGACATTGAAAGTGGAACAAGAGATGATGCAGTATATAATGTTGTTGGAGACCCAGATCATGATAACACAAATGATCATGGTGAAGCTATTGCTGCTGAATTCTTTGAAGAATATGCTTGTGACGAGACTGAGTCAACTCAAGAACCCAACCAAGGTACAGCATTTCAAAAGCAGAGCTGGTTTTAGAATTCAGCGGGCGGGAGGGAGGGATATGATTTAGCTTAGTGACAGCGTGTGCATTTAATTACAGCTTCCAAACAAAGCTATATGTGTCTTGGGGTTGTGCCTACTTGAGGTATATACATTGTGCTTCAATTTCTTTTAGCCTCTGGTGACAATAATTTTGTTCGAAAAAGTGTCAGAAACCGGCGACCACGTCAACTCTCACCAGACTTAGTTGATCAAAGATCTCCTGTTTCAAAACGACAAAAGACAAATGCACCCTCAAAGACATTGCGTGCAAAAAAGAAAATTGATGCTCCTTTCAAATGTGATTTGTGTGGTTCCCAACATATTACTGACCCAACACGGCGAGGAAACCGTCTCAAGTCGTCTGCTCATGCACCAAGCCCAAGACATAAGCTTGATCCTGAATCTGGCAAGATGTTGACACTTTGCAATGCTTGCGGTATGTAAAGTTACAGTATCACAGTACAGACACGTATATTTATACAAACAACATGACACAAAGACAAAGTACATTAAACATTAAAACATGTGTTTTAAATAAATATTTTAATGATTTTGATATATTTTTGTTTTCAGGCTTGTCTTTTGACCGAACGAAGGTACCACGTCATCGAGTTGTGTGTGATCCTGAAGCTAAGAAATTGTACTTGGAGGAAGCTCGTAATTTTGCAGTATCACTTGCTGAAGGCTTGGACGAACCAGATGGTAAAATATGCTTATTTAACTAAATAGATCTTAATTAGGTTACATTGTATTTTGTGTGGTTTATTTGTTCATGATTATGTTGAAATTAGTTTCCAATTATTTCTGGTACAGTTTTCAATGTTTAATTCACGTTCTAGTTGTATGCTCAGTGTGAAACATGTTTCTATTGCAATTAACCATTTCAGCTTTGAGACTGTTCTGTCCTCGTTTCAAAACCAGTGCTTGTGCTTGCTTACAGAAATACATTGTGGCTGAAGGTTAGTTTGTGCCAAGGTTTTTTTATCCCTTCCTGAATGTTTCAAAATCTAGTTTACATCTTTATTCTTTTGCATAAATATGTTGATATTTCCAGGCAACATGGATGAGTCTCGTCAACGAGCGCAGACGCTGCTTGAACTTCACAAACAATCCAAGATTCTTTCCAAGAAGAAATGTTACAATGCAGATGACCAGGGAAACTTGCCTACCTCAGTCGAGAGGAAAGGAAAGAGGTTCGTTGATTGACTGAATGATTGTCGCAATATTAAGTATAATATCGAGTATTGTGAGAGTTCTGTTGATTTGGACGTTCTTGGTCGTAGTTTAACATTAGGTTGAAAATTTAACACGCAATTTAGTAAGAACGGGTCGAGCTTTCAATAATGAGTTCACTGTATTTCTAGGTTTCTATATTTTTTTTTTTTTTTTTTAATTTTATAAGCTTTGTCACAATATAAATTTACAAGTAAAACACTATTAATTTATAACATTATTAGAGCTATCCTTGCAGACTTCAATTTTACAGTCAAAAAACTATTAAACATATTAGAATAGACATGGATCTGTGAAAGTCCTCACTGCAAGATAGCTCCAATTATACTATTTCTAATAATACAACATTGAACAATTTACAACAATTGTGACAGGGTATTCACAACAGCTTTTGGCCAATTAATGCATATTTGGCCAATATAGCATATTAATGCAGTGTTGTATTAATATAAAATGTTTTTCATTGACCTACATTGACCTGTATAACAAAACATTTTTCGACAGAGGAAAAAATATCGGTCTTGGTAATGGGCAACGTAAATCAAAGGAATTTGAAACGTTTGTCTTGGAACAACGTAAATACCTTCGCGAAGATTTGAAACTTTGTGAACAAGCAACTCAAAGGGTTTTGTGTTATTCAAACAACTTCTTACATAAAAAGTTGAAGACTGATCCAACGGTAAGTTTTTTTTGAAATGAATGTTTTTTCAAGTACGCTGACGATACACATGCAGTGCCATGCAGTTGTACTTATAAACGACACTTTGGGCAGTTACTGTAAGCCATATGTAGTGGAGTTAACGATTCTGACTAGCCGGTTCTGTCGCTGACTATTATGAAAAGTGAAAAATCTTTTTTAAACCGCCGGCTACTTGTTATGCAGAGCCAATGACAGTGAAACCTTGTTTTATACAGCACTCATTCTTTTGTATCGGCAGTGATTTGTACACTCTTAACAATGCTTGGACTTCCAGGACTAGTATTCTATTCTGTTACGCAAGGCGCCGGAACCAGGGGGGGGGGGCAGGTACCAACACTGCTCATTGCTTACAATGACTAAGTCCTGAAGCCTTTACTACCATAGCATAAGCTACAGTGTATATGTTTTATTTTGATGCGCGTTCTTTGCATTAAAGCGTTATAATATTCTTGCTGAAAATACGTTCTTAATTATAACAATGAGTTGAGACTTCCCTTTCGTGTGGTACTTTTTAAGGTAAAATGAATGTGCTCTTTCCCAAAACTCTGTCTCTGTGTTATGCCAACTAACTGTGAAAGATAAACCGGGTCGTAGCTATAGAAGCTCATTTGCGGGGCGAATATTTTTTTATAGAAACCTTTGCGTGTGGAGCGGCAAAAAGGCCAGGCTGTTCTTGGAAAGTTAAAACCCATCCAGGAACTCACCAATGAGTCTTGTTGCGTTGATAAGTGTGTCTCGGTACGTCATAACATGTTTCTTGAATTACTGTGAACACACTGGCTGTATTCGTTTAATTGAAGCAATATAATTGCATGCACTGAACAATAGTTTTGAATTGCGATATTTAGATGGTTCTCACCCACAGTAAACTTCTTCAACAATGGCGAGATCGATCCGCCTCTGGTCAAGCAGAAGCGCGCCGTGTTTTAGCAGAAATGCTGACTCCATCAGGAGGTGCACGCTCGAACTGTTATAAATTCATATCCTGGGTTACTGGGTGTAGTCACAGTACTATCGGTAGAGTTAACGAACAAATGAAGAAAACAGGTCAGTCATTCAGAGTTTTGAACTTCAATATCGTCATCCAGAGCTATTGACGCTAAAGATTAGTAGAACTACATTCAAAATAAACAGGATCATCCTTTTTTTCGTCACTGCTTGGCCTGGGTTTTAGTGGTCCGTGTAATCAGTCGTTTCCTTATTTTTTTTTTTAGGTGGGGACCGGGAACCACCTGCCCATGGCTTGATCAGTTGGTGGAAAGAACACCCTAAACCTAAAAAGGTGAAACCGAAACCAGTACCGCACAATGCAACGTCACATGGCGTTCAAATTCAATTTGCCAATTCTCAGATACAAGCCTTGCAACAGCTTGGAATCTTGCAAGCGAACACGGGAAATGTTGGTATATCCGGAACACTACTCTCTGGACAAAATAACTCGCAAGTTATCACTATTAACTCCTCTCTAGGACTGAATGTGCCCGCGACTACACAGGCACAAAACACAAGCCGACAGGTTGTGTTATCTCCAACGCAACACACCCAACTGCAAATCCAACAATTACAACAGCAACAACAACAATTACATCTGCAAACTATGCAACTTCAACAACAACTACAACAACAGCTGCAACAAGAGCAACAACATTTGCAGACACAAAATGCCGATCAAAACCATGCGATAATTCAACTCCCAAATCAAGTCATGTCAAATCCCGACGCACCCTGTCTTACTCTCACACAATCCCATGAGTTTCCTCAAGGTACCTTTACCACCACCCTTCACCCAACACCGCAAGTTCAAGCTGTATGTCCGAGTAATGGTAGTCTGGGAACTAATTCCCAGTCCACATTGTCTACGGACACGTTTTTGTCATCGGATACATTACAAATATTGAACTCAGGCCAAGTGTCAGCGGTTGCTCCACATGTTGTTACATTACAGTGCTCCAATGAATCAAGTACAACCCAGGCAATACCTGTCTCCCTGATACAGACCCCAGTTTCTTTATCGCTGTAATTTGACACAGCCGACTGGAAATTTGTTTGGGGTGTGACCTGTGGGCACTGATTTATAAGAAGGATCAGACCATCACTGTGTCATTCATTCAATTATTCAACCTATATATAAGCAATTCAGGGACCGGTTGTATCAAGCCCGTTTTATTAGCTTAAACGCTGGATAAGTCAAAATTAAATAACACTCTTACATCTCTCTTGAATGAGTCAACTTGAATATTATGCACTGAATATGTAGTTGTAAACGTTATCGTTGTATTAAGGTTAAAAACATTTAGTTTGCCTGCATGAATAAAGCGAGACTTGCTTTCTATTTTGAAACGGGCTTGATACAGACGGCCCCGGGAGTAGTCAATAATACAGCCCAAAGATAAGCACAGTGTGTCCCATATATAAGTGTTAAACTAAGCATTTTTGCCCAATTTAGCAATGAATGCATGAAGTAGTTTGCACAGGGTGAGTAAATAAACTGATGGCTTTTCATATGCAAAAGAACATGACTTGCACTCTTTGCTTTGAGATTAAAATTATTCGTGCATGGGCGAGATAACTGAAAATTAGGTCAGTTATTAGTTCGCGGGGGTTTTTTTTATGAACCCTGTATGTATTTGGGGACATTTTTTTTAAGTTGGGGCTCATTCGTACAAGTTTTTTAATATTAGTAGGTAATAGTGGAAAAAAATCTTCGGAAAAGCGATAAATCTATGGCTACGTAGAGGCGATTGTACTCTGGTGAAACTGAAGGAAATATGTAACAATTTTTGTATAGATTTAACAATGATACGACCCTCTTCACCGTGTAGTTAGTTATGCATACACATTGTTCTTCTCTATTCCATACTATCTCCATGTCTTAACTGAAAAATTGTTCATGGATGGAATAATTGAATAAATATGTAAAAGCCTGTGTAAGGTATATAATATATATCAGTGGATAATGTTTCTTATATTACGATAATTTACAATAAAAGATATCTTGTGAGTTGGAGATTGGATATGTTGATCTGAACTTGCGTAATTTATGATAGTAATGCCTCCCATCGATTACTTGTTAATTCTCATGGTATTTAAGTTGAATAAGAGATGCGTATTATTCATTTTTGTCGACGAAGGATATCCATGATTATAGAATCATACTACAGCAAAACTACGTTAATCACCCTAATACCCTTAAGATACACCAAACCTACGACGCGGACGTAAAATAAATTGTCTTCATTTCCACAGTTTCAAAACGTTTCCTTTTGGTAAACAAGCTCAGAGCTTAATTTAAAACAAATTAAAACCGGGTTCCTGACAATCCCGGCTGATTTCATATTACGTCCATCCATGTCGTATATATCGAGTCAGTCCACATTTCATTTCATTCAAAATGAAAAGTATTATTTACCATGTGTATTGTCAAAATTCAAGGTGGCGTCAGCCTCTCAAGAAAATTAAATGTCTGAAATGCAGACTCAGAGGTCGTACAAGGAAGGGCCTTAAGCCTCGTTCAATGATTTTATACATATTAACATATTTTTGGAAAATTTTCAAAATTCGTCAATTTCCCTTACCATGCCAAAAGTTTTCTAAAAATGTGTTAATTTCCCGAAAATGACTTCAAATATTCACTAAAACTCGCTCGCTCTGCGGCTCGCTTGCTCCGCGAACAAGCCGCGAAGCCGCCCGCCAAGTAACCGCGACTGAACGAGTCGCGAAGCGGCCAAATTCGTCAATTTTAGCTAAAATGGTAAGTGTGCCCTTAACACTCCAAAAATAATGATTTTTTCAATGTTCCAAAAACAACCCAAATATGCTCAAAAACAAAATAGGGTAGTCTTAGTGAAGATTTGAAGCCATTTTCACAACGTTAACACTTTTTGGAAAATTTTCAAAATTCGTTAATTATCGCTAAAATGGTAAGGCACCTCTTACCGTGTCAAAAATGATGATTTTTTCAATATTTCCAAAAACCAACTAAATATGCTCAAAAACTAAATATCGTAGTCTTAGCGAATCTTGGAGCCATTTTCACCATATTAACACATTTTCGGAAAATTTTCAAAATTCGTCAATTATCGCTAAAATGGTAAGGCATCCCTTACCATGCCAAAAATGAAGATTTTTTCAATATTTCAAAAACCAACTAAATATGCTCGAAAACTAAATATCGTAGTCCTAGTAAATATTTGAAGCCATTTTCAGCATACTAACACATTTTCGGGAAAATTTTCAAAATTCGTCAATTATCGCTAAAATGGTAAGGCATCCCTTACCATGCGAAAAATGAAGATTTTTTCAATATTTCAAAAACCAACTAAATATGCTCAAAAACTAAATATCGTAGTCTTAGTAAATATTGGAAGCCATTTTCAGCATACTAACACATTTTCGGAAAAATTTTTAAAATTCGTCAATTATCGCTAAAATGGTAAGGCATCCCTTACCATGCGAAAAATGAAGATTTTTTCAATATTTCAAAAACCAACTAAATATGCTCAAAAACTAAATATCGTAGTCTTAGTGAATATTTGAAGCCATTTTCAGCATACTAACACATTTTCGGAAAATTTTCAAAATTCGTAGATTATCGCTAAAATGGTAAGGCATCCTTTACGATGCCAAAAATAAAGAATTTTTAAATATTTCAAAAACCAACTAAATATGCTCAAAAACTAAATATCGTAGTCTTAGTGAATATTTAAAGCCATTTTCAGCATACTAACACATTTTCGGAAAATTTTCAAAATTCGTAGACTATCGCTAAAATGGTTAGGCATCCCTTACCATGCCAAAAATGAAGATTTTTTCAATATTTCTAAAACCAACTAAATATGTTCAAAAACTAAATATCGTAGTCTTAGTGAAGATTTGAAGCCATTTTCAGCATACTAACAAATTTTCGGAAAATTTTCAAAATTCGTCAATTATCGCTAAAATGGTAAGGCATCCTTTACCATGCCAAAAATGAAGATTCTTTCAAAATTTCAAAAACCAACCAAATATGCTCAAAAACTAAATATCGTAGTCTTAGTGAATATTTGAAGCCATTTTCAGCATATTAACATATTTTTGGAAAAATTTCAAAATTCGTCAATTATCGCTAAAATGGTAAGGTATCCGTTACCATGGCAAAAATGATGGCATGTTTTAGGGCATATTTGGCTGCTTTTTGGAACAATCAAAATGTCGTAAATTTTGGCCAAAATGGTAAGGGCTTACCCTTCACCATTTTGGTCAATTTTGACGACTTTTTCAACTGTTCAAAAACGGTCTTAAAATGCTAGAAATAGCTTCCTAAGACTAATATCTTTCATTTTAGAGCATATTTGTTGCTTTTTGCAACATTGAAAAAGTCGTCAATTTTGACCAAAATGTTAAGGCTTACCCCTTACCTTTTTGTCACTTTTGACGACTTTTTCAAATGTTCAAAAACTGTCTTAAAATTATAAAAATGGCTTCCCAAGACTAATATCTTTCATTTTAGAGCATATTTGGAACATTGAAAAAGTCGTCAAAATTGACCAAAATGGTAAGGCTTTCCCTTACCATTTTGGTCAATTTTGACGACTTTCTCAACTGTTTAAAAACTGTCTTAAAATGCTAAAAATGGCTTCCTAAGACTAATATCTTTCATTTTAGAGCATATTTCGTTGGTTTTTGGAACATTGAAAATCTCGTCAAAATTGACCAAAATGGTAAGGCTTACCCCTCACCATTTTTGTCAATTTTGACGACTTTTTCAACTTTTCAAAAACTGTATGAAAATGCTAAAATGGCTTCCTAAGACTAATATCTTTCATTTTAGAGCATATTTGGAACATTGAAAAAGTCGTCAAAATTGGCCAAAATGGTAAGGGTTACCCCTTACGTTTTTAGTCAATTTTTACGACTTTTTTAACTGTTCAAAAACTGACTTAAAATGCTAAAAATGCCTTCCTAAGACTAATATCTTTCATTTTACAGCATATTTGGAACATTGAAAAAGTCGTCAAAATTGACCAAAATGGTAAAGCTGACCCCTTACCATTTTGGTCAATTTCGACGACTTTTTCAACTGTTTAAAAACTAATTTTCTTGTATGATTGCATGGCGACTTTAGTAATTATAATAACTTGTAGGTACTTGTAGGTACTTATACTTACGTGGTGTACCTACAAGTTATTATAATTGTTTAAAAACTGTCTTAAAATGCTAAAAATGGCTTCCTAAGACTAATATCTTTCATTTTAGAGCATATTTCGTTGGTTTTTGGAACATTGAAAATCTCGTCAAAATTGACCAAAATGGTAAGGCTTACCCCTTACCATTTTTGTCAATTTTGACGACTTTTTCAACTTTTCAAAAACTGTATAAAAATGCTAAAATGGCTTCCTAAGACTAATATCTTTCATTTTAGAGCATATTTGGAACATTGAAAAAGTCGTCAAAATTGACCAAAATGGTAAGGCTTTCCCTTACCATTTTGGTCAATTTTGACGACTTTTTCAACTGTTTAAAAACTGTCTTAAAATGCTAAAAATGGCTTTCTAAGACTAATATCTTTTATTTTAGAGCATATTTGGAACATTGAAGAAGTCGTCAAAATTGACCAAAATGGTAACGCTTACCCCTTACCATTTTGGTCAATTTTGACGACTTTTTCAAATGTTCAAAAACTGTCTTAAAATGCTAAAAAATGGCTTCCAAAGACTAATATCTTTCATTTTACAGCATATTTGGAACATTGAAAAAGTCGTTCAATTTGACCAAAATGGTAAAGCTTACCCCTTACCATTTTGGTCGATTTTGACGACTTTTTCAACAGTTCAAAAACGGTCTAAAAATGCTAAAAATGGCTTCCTAAGACTTATATCTTTCATTTTAGAGCATATTTGGAACATTGAAAAAGTCGTCAAAATTGACCAAAATGGTAAGGCTTTCCCTTACCATTTTGGTCAATTTTGACGACTTTTTCAACTGTTTAAAAACTGTCTTAAAATGCTAAAAATGGCTTCCTAAGACTAATATCTTTCATTTTAGAGCATATTTCGTTGGTTTTTGGAACATTGAAAATCTCGTCAAAATTGACCAAAATGGTAAGACTTACCCCTTACCATTTTTGTCAATTTTGACGACTTTTTCAACTTTTCAAAAACTGTGAGAAAATGCTAAAATGGCTTTCTAAGACTAATATTTTTCATTTTAGAGCATAT